GTAGGCCAGCTGTCTTTACATATACAATGACAGTTTGTACAATATATGTAATCAGCTTGTAAGCTAGCACTGCGTAGTATTTACAGGTTTTACCATTTCCTAGGAAAGCATTGTTGATACGTACATGAGCCTTGCTTAGTGAAAGTATTAGTTGTTTTGGTGTGTGTGTGTGTCTTTGTGTTGCTGGTAATTTATCTTACAGACTCACATTTGTTAAGCAAACACATTCTACTGATTAATATTCCCAGTCTGGTTTTTGTTTTGTCTTGTTAAATTAATTTAGAGACAGGGTCTCAGGTGTCCTTTACTCCTGAACTCAAGCAATCCTTTGGCCGTAGCCTCATAGGTAGCTGAGCCTGTAGGCAACCCACTTCTCTACTTAGCTTTTGAGTGGTCTCGCTCTGAGCTAACATGTTGGCTCAGTAGTTGAGTGCTCACTGTCTTGCAGAGGACCTGAGTTCAATTCCCAACACCTACATGTTGGCTCACAACCATCTGTAACTGCAGTTTCCAAGGGATCCAAAGCCCTCTTCTGGCCTTCACAGACACAAGTTATGTACATGGTGCACAGACATACATACAGGCAACTCATACAAAAAGTAAGGAAATAGTGGGTGCCGGGAGGGAAAGAGGCGAAAGAGCACCCACTCTGGACATACTACTTAATTGTGTATTTGATTGTTTAAACTATGAAGTATAAATTTTAAGTATAAAACTTAAAAAGTAAAGCTGAGATTAGCTCAGTTGACAGAATGCTTGCCTAGTACGCAAAAAGGCTTGGACACAATCCCCAGCTTCCTACATAGGTGTGCTGCCACACCCCTGTAATGCCAATACTGGGGAAGTAGAGGCAGGAGGATTAGAAGTTAAAGACATCTTGGCTACCCAGTGAGCTGGAAGCCAACCTCAGGTACATAAAGACCCTGCTTTGGGGTGGGAGAGAAGCTTTATGTTAAAAGAACCTAGTTCAACAAAGGAAGCAAACTAGGATTCCTGACACTGGCATCACTGAGCTGCTTTGAGCTTTTCTATTGCTTGCTTACATACATGAAGTATCTCACATGAGTATTACTTAAAGCAATTAAGGTCTTGTATGTGAAGGACTTAAAACCCTACCTTATATTACATAATCGTCATCATAAATAGTACCTTACTGCTTATAAAATCTCACTCCCTCTTAGTTGCTAGCGTGATGTGTTACTTGGCCCTGGTTCTATCTGAGCTCTTAATAAGGACACTGAGTACTCATAGTACAGTTGACACAATGTTTGAGTGTGGGGTCCAGTCCTGAATCTGCCTTTACTAACTATATAGTTCTGAGCAAATTAGAAATTTGTGTTTCTCTCTTGTCTTAGTGTTACCATTACTATGATAAAACACAATGAACAAAAGCAAATTGGGAAGGAAAGAGTTCTTCAACTTTTACTTCCACATTGTAGTTCATCACTGAAGAAATTCAGGGCAAGAACACTAACAGGGCAGGAACATGGAAGCAGGAGCTGATGCAGAGGCTGTGGAGGGGTATTGCTTACTGACCTACTCTTCATGGTTCACTCAACCTGCTTTCTTATGGCACCACCCACAATGAGTTGTGCCATCCCTCATCAATCACTAATTAAGAAAAAGCTCAATAGGCTTGCCTACTGCCCATCTTATGCTGGCATTTTCTCAATTTGGTCCCTCCTTTCAGGTAACTATAGCTTGTATCAAGTTGACAAACTAGGCAGCATAGCTCTAAATATTACTTTCCCTCGCTATAAAATGTGTAAAATTGTGTACTGTTTTGTACACAATGCTGAGGATATTTTTGTGACTGGTATGACTCACCGTTTCGGTTTCCTCATGACAAGTCCCTGAGGCATCTGTGTTATGTTAACTCGGGACCTCACACATACTGGGCAAGTGTTCTTCCACTGTAAAGATGGCAGAGCACAGGGTGTGAAGTAACTGCCCATCTGAGACACTCCCTTCAAGGATTTGCCAGTCTATGAAGGTAAAAATAATGTACTTAGAGGCAAGGGCCCTTCTTGTGTCTCCTGTGGCCGCCCACCACCTCTCTTCTTCCCAAGTTTACCTCCTCCTCTTGTTTCCTCACCCTGCACAGCACCTCCCCCATGAATCCTTTTTAGTTCTTTTCTTCATTCATCAAGACCTTTCCCTTTCATGGAAAGGCTCATTGTCAGTTTCTGAGTGAGATTTTAGTTCTGATTCTTTAAACATTTGGACATGACTTTTGACTACTAAATAATTATCTTTTTACCAAGTCAAAGAGCAGCCCTGATCCTCAGTTTCTTCTCACAGGATGGAGTACTGGTAGATGAATTTGGACTGCCACAGATCCCAGCTTCGTAGACTTGCAGCATCCAACACGTGATGTACAAAAACGAAAAACAAAACAAAAATAAACCTATTCTGGGACTAGGAAATATTTCCTAATTTGCCAAACAGATTTAGGTTTCTCTCCTTTCTTTGAAGGAAAAGCTAATTATACTGCTCCTATGTTTGTTAGTTTTTTTTATTTTTTTCCGTTAAGAACTTCATTGCTTTGGAGGAAGCTTTCTTTCACTAAAATTTGATTCTTTTTTTTTTTTTTTCTCTTAGGAAAGACTAACTGAAAAGTACCTTTGACTTTGTATGACTTGTTTTCATTAATTAACAGTAGTTTGAAATAAAACCAAGGAAATGAAACGCTAAATTCTATGGTAGTTTAAGTGCAGTCTCAGTGACTTGATACATTGCTAAGATAAAGATTATTGGCGAGACTGAGACTGTTGATAGTGTGCTTCAAAACCATTGTCCATTGTGATAGTGTAGGTGGGTTTAAGTGATGGCCTCTTTTGATAGGTTTTGTTGTGTCATGTGAGCAAGTTATACTCTGCCTAATGTTGAAATGAACTGTCACTACTGAACCGAGTTGCTATTTTGATTCCACAGTTCCCTCAGTATTAGAGCCTGACTTGTAATGAATAATGAATATTTCTTGATATTTAATATATAGGACATTTATTTATATTCAATAAATATTTTTCAAAAGGTTGTAATTGTAATAATCACTTTAGCCTAAAACCTCCAGTATGGAGACCAAGCTTAACCAGTAGCACTGAGATGGACAGGAAAGAGCAGAGGGCAGCCTCAGCTTGGGTTTTGGGTGTGTCACTTTTTAACTACTGTTTCTTGTTAATACAGTTGTACTTGCCTCATGAGGCTCTCACGAGTATGTGAGGAAGTAGTCATAAACTAACTTTAATGTGACATTCTCCCATGAGGGACTAACAATAAAAGGAAAACCGAGAGCTTCACCCCTTTCTTGTGGCCTACTTAAAGTACTAATACATACAATAAATCCAGCTGCTACCTCATTTCAGGGCCTTTATTATTTTTAAATTTTTTCTGTGTTTGGTGTTTTGCCTGCATGTATGTTTGTCAGAATCCCTGGAACTAGAGTTAGACATGCAGTTGTGAGCTACCATGTGGGAGCTTGGAATTGAACCCAGATCCTCTGCAAGAGCAGCCAGTGCTCTTAATACTGATCATCTCTCCAGACCCCAGCTCCAGGGTCTTTACTCATCCTTCTGAGGTAGTTAGTTAATCTTGGTAGTCAATCTGATGGGATTTAGAATTGCCTAGGAGACAAGCCTCTGTGCATGTCTGTGGTAGATTATGCAGATTAGGTCAGTTGAGGTGGAAGGCCACCCTAACTGTTGGTGGCATCTTTCCATGAGACAGGATCTAAGGGATGGGGTCCACAGGATGGGGTCTGTGGGGTGGGGTCCATGGGATGGGGTCCTGGGCTGATATAAAGGAGAAGATAAGCTGAGCACAAGCATTCATCACTCTTGCTTCCTGGATCCTGATGCAGTGTGAGCAGCTGTCTTCAGCCTCTGCACTATGACTTCCCACCTGATGGACTGTACCCTCAAAATGTGAGCCAAAAGAAACCTTTCTTTTTAAAGTTGTTCATCAAGTGTTATCTCACAGCAATCAGGCAAGTAGCTAATACATTTTTTTTTTCTTTCTTTCTTTTAACCTCACTTTTAATGAATCTATTCCCTCACCAACCTGGCTTGGCAATTCATGTTGTTGTGCATACCAGCTTTTCATGTGTCTGCAGAGCAAATCAATTAAACATGTTGAATACCAGCTGTTTCAAACTCTGTAACAGTCCAGGGACTATCAAGAGCAGTCATCCCTCCCTTCAGAAGATCACCAAGTGGGGATAGGACAGACCTGTAAACCTTCTCCATGCCCACAAATCTCACTTTCTCAAGAAACCTTCCATGAGCAGACATACAGTGCTTATCATAACCTCCTTGAATACTTTTTGGTTTTCCTGACTTATCTGAGTTTTTCTACCTATCTGGCCCCATAGTCTCTTCCATGGACTCTTCTTTCTCACTCAGTCCCTGAGTTGTTTCAGGGATTACTTACATAGTGATGGCCTAAAATAATTGTCAGTAACCTTAGCTCCCTACTCTTATTTTCAGTTCTGGGTGTTTCCATTTTCATGTCTGTGCTTTAATTTTCAATTTGACAGTACCTAGAGTCCTAAGGGAAGAGAGTCTGAGGGATTACTGATGTTGCCTGGGCTGTGCGCAGGTCTTTTGTCTTGAGTTAACTGATCCAGGAACCCAGCCCCTGTGGGTAATATCATTCCTAGGCAGAGACCCTGAATGTATGAGCTGAGAAACTGTACTAGTAGGTACTGGTAGTGTTCCAGGATTCTAGTTTTTTGTTTTGTTTTGTTTTGTTTTTTACCATACATTCCTTGCTTAATTGTTATTTAGTGACCCTAGCTACCCTCTTGGCCTCACTACTCACTCTGTATACTTCTAGCTCTGGTCTTTCTCCTGAGTTTCAGAATCCTAGTTGTTTGTTTTCTAACTTTTTTGAGAATTTTATCTATGAGTACACTATACATCATTCCCACCCCATCTCCCTGCTTTACTTCCTCCTATAGCCCCACTCCCTTGAACTCATGACCTCTTCTATAATTATTACATGCACATATATGTAACCCACTGATCCACTCAGTGTGCTTAGGGCTGAACACTTGAGACTGGGTAGCTTCTCTCTATCCAGGAGACTGCTGATGGTTGTCCTTCCTCAGGAGGCATTGACTGCTGCAGCTCCTCGTCTAGTGGTGGGGCCTTGTGAAATTTCCTCTATTCATGGTGGTGTGTCATCTGCAGTTGTCATGGTACAGGTCTTGTGGAGGCCACCATATTGTTGTGATTTCATGAGTGAAATGTCTCTGCCCTGTCTAGCTCATGGCAAGCATCCACCTCGCTTCTCTAACTCTTAAAATCTTTATACTCCATCTACTAAGATGTTCCATGTGCCTTAGCTATAGAGAGTGTGTTATAGATGTACCCATTGGAGCTGCACACCCCATGGTCACTTATTCTTTACATTTTAACCAATTGTGGGTCTCTAGTAGTTTGTGTCAGCTGCAGATACCCAGCTCTTTACCGGACTCTCACAAGCACCTCACAGTCATATGGCAAAGACAGACAGCCCATCACCTTTCTCTAGACCCAAATCTTTAGCCCTCCAGCTAGTGAAACTATTGTCTTATCACCTAAACAGTGCTCTAGAATTGTCTTCAAATCTCACATTTTGCTTCATTTTACATAGCCAAGAAATCATTAAGCTTTTAAAAAGTCACATTACTTATTTGGAGGGATGACATATGCTACAGTGTGCATGTGGAGGTCAGAGGATACTTGGAAAAGTCAATTCTCTCCTACCATGTGGGTCCTGGAGACTGAATTCCAGCCATCAGGCATGGCAGGAAATGCCTTTCTGCTAAGTTATTTCAATGGCTTCAAACCTTTAACTCGTTTTTCAAGCCCAGTTCCCTTTTCAGTTTTCACTTGCCTACCTATATGTCAGATAATCTTTTGGAATGAAAGACTTGTTTTCTCTACACACACAATTTTAATTCCTTGAATTCATTTATCATACACAACTAATCTTTCTGAAATATGTGTGTATATGTGGTATATGTATGTATGTGTGTGTGTGTGTATCTGTGTCAACTATAAACACTTAAAATTACTAACAGCTCCCTGACATCACAACCACCTGTAACTCAAGCTCTAGTGCCCTCTCTGGCCTCCAAGAACACCTGGACACATGTGATGTACATATATATACCCAGACAAGCATGCTCTCACCTATACACACAGCCATACACACAGACAAGACAATATTTTTTTTAAAGAAAGCCCATTAGCAAGAAAAACACTGCAACCCCAAGAGGGGGAAAAAATGTGCAACAGCTATGAATAAGCAGTTTAAAAGAGGAAATCCACAAGGCCATTGAGTAATGTTCAAGCTTGCTGCTAAAGCTGGTGACCAGAGCCAGATCCCCCAGACCCACGGGTGAAAGGAGAGAACCAACCAACTCTTACAAGTTGTCCTCTGACCTCTACACACATATCATGACACAAATCTGCTTGCACATTGTGCACACACTCATACAATGTAATTCTAAAACACCTTTTAAAAAAGAAATGTTCCAGTTCAACCCAGAATATTGTGTTGTGTAGCAATACTCACAGCAGTAAAGAGACTAAGAATGATCATGAGACTGAAGGCTTAACTTGACTTTATAATTAGAACAGTTTTTTAAAAATCGTCAAACTCAATAATTTAGACAAAACCAGAATAAAATGTTAACACCATATCTGTGTGCTGGCACACACCTTTAATTACAGCACCTAGGAAGGGGAAGACAAGACAAATCTGTGAGTTCAAGACCAGCCTGCTCTACACAGAAAGTTCCAGGATGGATCTACTTCATGTTCCTGGGGAAGCCTGAATTATTTGACAAATGCAGTCTTCACTTCTCCTATGCAATAATGCAGTGTTGTGGTATAGTTCAGGGAAAGTTAGGTTCTACAAAATTGGACTTTTACATTGTATTTGCTTTCTAAACTACTTATCTCTGAAAGTTAGTTCAGGTATTGTGTATATTGAACCATGAGCATTTTCTTAAAGATTAGAATGCTGAATGACAGAAAAGAGTACACAGGCCTGACCTATGGAGATTGTATCAAAGAACTGAGCAGAGATTGACGTATGTAGCTCACTTTGAACGGCCCACTCTTAGTGATACCCTGTAAATTACAGATCATCTTGTTCAAGCCATCAGGTGTACATTGTGAATGGAAGTGGATGCGCCCTGTTCAGTCATCTCAGGAAAGGCTTGGGTGAATAGGGAAGTAGGAGAGAATTTCTTCTCATCTGCAGGTGGTTGAGTCACAACCAGGTTAAGTTCCTGCTTAAAAGACATAAATGATATTCTATATTCAGGACCAATCATGAATGACTGTGACCTGAGAATGGTTAGGATTACCCTGGAAGACTTACACTGTAAAGAAAGAGGTGATGGAAACTTACAGTTGCAGAATGAAAAGTCTAAATCAATGCTTTGATCAGATACAATAGTGGGGACATCAGGTAGGTGGGAGTCAGCAGACTGGTGAGACTGTTACAGTTCATATGTTTATCATTCTTAGCTTTAGATTTGGTTGCAGCTTGTAGTCTGCTGAGTTTAACAATACATTCCAAGGTTTTACCTAACAGTCATAAAGATGTCACTTCAGATGCAGAGGTTGGTGGTAAGCCACTATAAAGGGACTGAGGATAACACAATTATGAAACTGTAGAATGCAGGACCTTCAACCTTTACAGAACTTCACTTCAGAGTTAATTGTAGAACTTTGTGAAATGAACGTGGGGGTGTCCACTTCTAAGAAATCAGCAAGAGCTCTGCAACAGGAAGAACTTCTGGTTGTAGATAGATAAGATTGGGCTCCTAAATTTTGGTGTCAGTGATAAATTGCCATCTTCATTTGACTTTGTAATTATCATACTATGTCGCCCAGGCTAGCGTGGGACTATGTAGAACATGCTGGCCTCAGACTCAACAGAGAACCGCTGTCTGTGCTGCCAGAGTGCTGGGATTAATGGCCTGGGTCATCACACCTTGCCTTGGCTATACATAAAAAACAAAACCCGAAGTAAACTAAAACCTTAACGTTTGTATTTCTAGCTGGGCGTGCTGGTGCACGCTGGTGTAAAGGAAGATCCTACTTTAAGGCCAACCTGGGGTTACATCGTGACACCATGCACCACCCCCAAAAACTTCAAACTTTTTCCCTCAGTTGATGTTCACTTGTATTTGTTACCTGCCCACCATTCTGTGGCTCGTTTGCAAGTAATTAGCCTTTAGATATGTTTAGTTTAGTTTTACTTAGACAAGGACAGGTAGCCCAAGATGGCCTGGAACTCATCCTACCCCCAACCCCGTTCCGGCCCTCACCCCCATTCAGCATCCCGGAGTTGTATGCTACCACCGTCGGCAGGTAACCTATTGTTTTGCCGTCTTCTCTCCACACTGTCTTTTGATTTCTAATCGGGAGGGGCCCTTGCCGTTTGAGTGGGCCTCTCCAGGGAGATTCTCTGAAGGCCGTTTGAAGCTGGGCGGATGGCAGGACACGACTAAAAAGCGTCGCAGCCAGAGAACACTGTGCCTCTCGAAAGGAAAAGCAACTACGCTAGCGCCGGCCCTAGATCCCGCTGTCCTGAACCCCTCCTGCCCCATCCCCCGCCCGTCGTATCGGTCTGACGTCCAAGTGCGCCATCCCACTGTCTGCTCCGGCGGCACCACCCCCGAGGCCCTCCACGCGCGCACACAGGAGCCGGAAATCCGGAACACGTGACCAGGTGACAGCGCTCGCGCGGCGCTCGCTTGATGTGCTGCGGCACGGGATGGCGGAGGCGCCTCCGGTCTCAGGTACCTTCTGGCTCCCCATGCGGGATCTCTTGAGTCCGGAAATCTAGTAGGCAAGGAGATCAGAGGGTTTGGGCTATCGAGGGGGCGAGGGCTGCGCAGGGACAGTGACTCGCAAGGGCCAAGCCACGCGCTCTGCACGTACGGAGCCCTCCACCATTTTCGACAGGGCGGGGAAGCCCGGCCTCTGGGTTTCCGAGGACAGCGGGCGGGTCCCGGCGCCCAGCGACCGGACACGGGCGTCCCGCGGCCAGCGGGGCTCCTCCCGGCCTTCCCGAGGCAGCGCGGCGGGCGGGCGGGCAGGCATAGGCATAGGCGAAGTCTCTGTCTTGGGCCCTGGAATCCAACGAGTTTGCCCGCCGTGCTAGGGTGTGCTCTCAGCTTCTCCGGGTGGCGGGCGCGCGCTGAGCGCGCGAGCGGGTTCAGCCTTGAGTGGTTTAAAATCCCATCTTGTGAGTGGGTGATCCAGTCTCAGTTTTCTCCTCTGTCAGTTTGGAGTTAGTAAACCAATTGCCGGAACCTCCCTATTTCCGTCCCTAATTGTTGGCACACTTTCCCTCCTGGAGCTATCCTGAGGTAGAGAGGATAGTCAAAAGGCTATCATTTGACTCTTTGACTCATTTGACTATTAATTATGTTATTTCCATTTTCTTTATGGTGTGCTGGTAGGTCCGGGGTTTCAAAGTTTGTGGACAGCAATCAAAAAAACACTTTGCATCCGGGTATTAGTGCACACTTGCAAAAATGTAAAAGTGAACCGAGAAGCTGGGGAGATGATAGTGCTGTGTTTAAGAATATTAGCCCCTCTTCCAGAATAGTCACATCCACCTGTACGCTGTAGGAGATCTGACACCCTCTTCTAGACAGGGAGGGCATCAACACACACGATGCATATATCCTGCTTCCCCCCCCCACACACAAAATGCGTACTTGCTAACACAGCACACAGGATTTAAGTTTTTGTTGTTGTTGTTGTTTCTTATAAACAAAAATGTTTACAGAGGTGTCCGGCATGGTGGCACACACTTTTAATTCCAGTAATCAGGAGGCCGAAGCAGGAGGATCTTTGAGTTCAAGGCCAGCCTGGTCTACATAGCCACTTCCAGGCCATCCAGGGTTACATAGTGAGAGCCTCTCTCAGGAAAGGCAGGATGAAAGGCAGAGAAGCAGTGATTTCTTTTACTTTCGACAACATACTCTAACGTTACGATTTAACAAAAACACTTGTCACAACCCACTAAGTAGATTTGACTAAATGCTCTTCCTGAAAATCATCACAGCAGTGTTCAGCACTGGCTTGAACTATATAGCTGTGCTTCTGTAACGCCGCATGTTTTCCGATCAGCAAGTGAGGTGTACTTATTCCTGCAACAGTGTGCCCTAGCCTTGACTTGGATATAAAAACCGTCTTGGGACCTTCACTGACCCTCTAAACTAGATCTTCTGATCTTCTTACTGCATGTTAACATCTGACTTTCTTTCATACCCTCAGCTATCTGAGGCAGAGTTAAGTTGAGGGCTGGTTGTAACTCAGAGTTTTAGCCTCTGGGACTGTGCTCTAGGTTACCACCTCTCCTCCCTAAAACATTTGCTGAGTCCCAGTGTTTCTACAGTGTTTGTTCTTAACACCGTCTCTAGCTTATCCACTCCCTAAAGAAGTGTTTCCCAACCTTGCTAATGATGTGATCTTTTAATACAGTTCTTCAAGCTGTGGTGACCCCCAAACATGAAAATATTTTGTTCCTACTTCATAACTGTAGTTTTGCTGCTCTTATGAATTGTAAATATCTGTGTTTTCCAGTGATCTTAGGTGATCCCTGTGAAAGGGTTGTTCTATGATCCCAAGGGGGTTGCAGCCTACAGGTTGAGAACCACACAGGACTGAGGTCTTTAAATAGACTAATCCAGGATGATTTTTTTTTTCTTATGCTCAGAGTTTCAACTTTGTGGACACCAGCACTAGTTGGATTCCTTTCATGTTTCAGTGTTTTGTTGGGTCGTTGGCACTCCTTACTTGAATTGTAATGATGCCTTCCTCAGAAGACCTCTCATTTACCAAGGAACTTCCACTTAGAATAGTGAAAAGAGTCTCATCTGTGCCATGGGACAGCTTCCTGATTCATGTGTCCCTTTCCTTATGTCTCTTTAAGGATCATTCTTTCTTTCTTTTATAAATTTTTTTTTAATTTTTTTGTACATTATTATGGTATCTATGTGAGGGTGTTGGATCCCCTGGAACTGGAGTTACAGCCAGTTGTAAGCCGCTAAATGAGTGCTTGGAATTGAACCCAGAGCCTCTGGAAGAGCAACCAGTGAGCTGGGCCATCTCTCCAACCTCTGTTAAGGGTCTTTCTGTGGGCTTTGGCTTAGGTCTAGTGAAAACAGTTATGTGTGGCTAGGGACAGCATTGTCTGGATCTGTGCACTGCAGTTCAGTGTGAAACATTCTTTGCCAGGCTGTTGGGCAGCTTTCCTGACCTTTTCTCTAGCCCCTCTTTTGACATCCTTACTTTTTAAATGGCACTTGGTACCATTTACCTATTCCCACTTTTAAATTTCTCTCATGTCGCCAAATACCTCTGCCACTCTGTGTTTGTCCAATCCTCTTGCCATTTTGTGAGGCCCTTCCCTCTACCTTCAGAACACTACCTATGTGAAAATGTTTGGGACAAACCCTGGCTTGAGTGAGATGTTTCTCTATGGCCTTTATGATCTCACCAGCAATTCAGTATGTTGCTATAGTGCTGCTGCCTTGCCTTTCAGTGTGCAGCATGACTATAAGCACAGTCACCAATGGTGTATGTCCTAAGTTAGACTGCTGAGCTTGCCTTGGAGTGCCTGTGGCCTTGGAAAAGTTACTCTGCTGCAGCATTCTCATCAGGAACTTGAAGATTAAATGACTTAATGGGGCCAGAGAGATGGCTCAGCTCTTAAGAGCACTTTCTGCTTTTCCAGAGGGCTCAACTCCAGGAGACTGGATACCTTCTCTTGCCTCAGCAGTACTCACTCATGGTGTATACAAGAGCACAAGTGTGTATGCTCACACAGAGAGAGATATACATATTTAAAGTAGAATAAAGAAGTTAACCTACGCAAAGTTCTTAAGAGTATATGACACATACTAAGTACCTATTAAGTGCCAGGCCTTATTACTTGAAATCCACAGGTTTTGCAGTATACCCATTGGAGTCTGTGTTGACAGTCAGTAGCTCTAAGAGCAATGATAAGGCACCATTTTAACTGCTGTAACTTGCTTTATTTAGGAGCCCTAGCAACTCTGATGTAGAGATTGTGTTCTCCATTACATATAAGAAAATGGGCTAAGTACCACATTAAAGCAGGACATGATAGTGCACGCCTGTATCACTCAAAAGGTTGAGGGAAGAGAGTTGTCAGTTTGAAGCCAGTCTGAGCTATAGAGTGAATTTGAAAGCAGTCTGTGCTGCATATAAGGCCTTTTCTCGAAAGGTAGATGATTTAAAACAATAGGTGACTTACAACTTCCTGTAACTCTTGCCTTGGGTGTACATGCTCTGCACGCAGGCACACACACACAGAGTGTAACATATAAGCTGGGCGTGGTGGCGGGCGCCTGTAATCCCAGCACTGGGAGACAGAGGCCAACCTGGTCAACAAAGTGAGTCCAGATTAGCCAGGACTAAACACAGAAACCCTGTGGGGGTTGGGGGGAGCTGACCTATGCAAAGTGCACTGTGTGACACATACTAAGTGCCAGGCCTTATTATAAAACTTTAAATCCACAGGCTTTTAACACACTTAAATTCTTATCTTATAGACTGTTGATTGCTACCATAACTCTGACTTTGCTACTGACTGGTTTTGTGTCAGTAGGCAGATAGTTTCTCTTCTCTTTCTCCTCCTCCTCTTCCCCCTTTAGACAGGTCTCACTATGTAGGCCTGGCTGACCTGAAACTCACTGTGTAGATCAGCCTCAAACTCACAGAGGTCTGCCTGCTTCTACCTCCTTAGTGCTGGGATTAAAAGTATGCACCACCATGTCTCTGCCCTGGCAGATGATTTCTTTGGGCTTCAGGGAACTGAGCTGCCTGTACTCAGAATCACCTTGCAGAGAAATTGAGTGGGCTGAAATTAAAGTAAGGTTAAATTTTAAGGCTTGGGAATTTTAAAAACATAGTGTAGGAGTTACATATGAAAAAAGCAAACTCTATTCTGGGGGGAAGAGGGAGACTTAGTACTCACTGTGTGGAATCTTTTAGGTTCCTTAATGATCCTTTGAAATAAACATTGTTATTCTTTATTATAGATGAGACAACTAAGACTATAGGTGGTCAGATGATAGCCCTAAGGGTATTCAGATTTTAAACCCATTTTAGCTGATTTCAAAGCCTGAGTGCTTACTGTTATGCAATGTTGCTTTGGTGTTTTGAAAGACCACATGGGGCTTCTCATCCCTAAACCTGACCTTTATGTTTTATTGAGATGAAGTCTCACTCTGAAACCTGGGATAGTCTCAAACTTGTGATTGTCCTGTGTAAGCCTCTCCAGTGCTGGAATTAGAGGCATGCCCTCTTCCTAGGTTTTGGTTTTGGTTATAGGTTCTTAAGTAACCCAGGATCTTCTAGAATTTGAATCCCAAGTGAGGGGATTACTAGTACATACTACCATGCCTGGCTTTGCCTCTCCTAAGACTTTTGGATATATGTATTCATAGTGCTGGATGGCCTAGGCCATCAGTGGCTATCAGTGTGACCACTAGACATGAGATACTTACTAACCATCCTCCACAAGGACTGAGAGCCTTACACCTTGCCTCATTAAGCCTATTTTATACAATGCCCTTAGGAAAATAATTTTTAGATTTGCCTTTAGAATCTTGTGGACTTCATAAGTGACATTAATTTCTTACCAGATGTCTATTTCTTATTTCCTAGGCACTTTCAAATTTAATACAGATGCTGCTGAGTTCATTCCTCAGGAGAGAAAAAAATCTGGTCTAAATTGTGGAACCGAAAGAAGACTAGACTCTAATAGGATTAGCAGAAGAAATTATAGTTCCTCACCTCCCTGTCACCTTCCTAGACAGGTCCCTTATGATGATATCTCTGCTATTCATCAGCATAACTATGACTCTGGAATCAAACCTAAGAGTCAGCAGCTTTTCTTCCAGTCATCTAATAAATCCCTCAGAAATCATGGCTTTCCAAACCAGCCATGGCAGAGATTAAGGAATGAGAAGCTCCAGAGCAGAGTCAAGAAAGCACAAGGGCTCACTGAGCAAACATCAGACACATCGAGTTTAGAAAGTATAGCCAGATCAGAGAGTGGCGCACCCCCTAGAGAGCACAGCCCTCCGGAGAGTGAGAAGGAGGTGGTCATTGCAGATCCCAGGGGAGCGAAACCCAAGAAGGCAGCACAGCTTACCTACAGCTATGGCAGAGGACCAAAGGCCAAAGGGAAACCCAAGTTCGAGTGGGGTAACAGAATGAGTCCTAAGTCTGAGGATGAATGTACCAGGCCTGTGGGGATTTCCCACACTGACTCTTCAGATGCTTCCTGTAGAAAAGCTGTAGTGGATGGATGTGTGTCCAGACGGAATGAGCAGAGAAGATTCCTGCAGAAGAGGCCTCCTTGGGAAGTGGAGGGGGCCAGACCACGACCAGGCAGGAACCCACCCAAACAGGAGAGTCAGCGACAAATAAATGCAGGGCCCAAAAACAGCATGCCCCCCATTCCAAAGGATAATCTCAGAGAAAGACCAGCAAAGTCAGCCTGTGACACTGGGAACTTGTCAGGTGTCAACAAGTCTTCCAGAAGGGTCAACCAAGAGAAAAATGCTGTCAGGAGACAGGAGCCTCAAGGGCTGTCTCCCTTCCCCAGAGGCAAACAGAGCCATGTGCTGAAGAATGTGGAAACACACACAGGTGAGTGCCTGCAGGGGTGGACATATGTTGCTCGTGCTAATTATTAAGCAGAGCATTCACATAATTGAGAGGACACAGTGAAGTCTCTTACTTAATTCAGTATCTGCTCAGACTCTGTCAACTACCCATTGGTAATCTCTTACTTATTTTTCCTTGTTTGCTTGCTTGAAGTTTGTTTGGGACAGGGTTGCATGCTCTCTGCCACCAAGTTATACTCCCAAATCTTTTTTGAGACACAATCTTCGTGAGTTACCCAGGGTGGCCTTGAGCTTGCTTGTGGCCCTCCTGCCTCAGCACCTTGAGTAGCTGGTATCACAAGCCTGTCCCACCAGGCCCAGCATTGTTTTAGTTTATATATGTTCCTCCAATAAATTATTATGTTAGGGCTTTAAATATAGATAAACATGCTACAGATACCTGGTTATGCTTTTTTTTTTCTTTTTTGCTTTTTTTTTTTTTTTTTTTTTTTGAGTTATGGTAGCAGAAGGAGGACATGCTAACATTCTGTTGGCTTTGCTAATTACAGCCTGTATCTCCTCATCTTTGCAATGGTCTTGTCTCATGTCTTACTTTCTTTTCAGTTCATCTTTTGCTCCATCATCAGTGAACAGTTTTTCCAAAACACATCTTGAACTCATTCTTCTGTTTTCTGGTTCTCACCACTAGAGACTCCAGTTTCTGCTCTGCTCAGCATTTCCATCTTCTTTTGCCTTACTCTACCATTTTATTCCAGATTTCTTCCTGTTTTTGTCTTTCCATGTTGCTACGTACACAGCTCCCTCTTTCTAGAGTTCCTACCCCTTAGCTCACTGGTAAACTTTTTTGCTTTTTTTTTTTTTTTTGGAGGGGGGTTGGTTGGTTGGTTGGTTTTTGTTTGTTTTGTTTTGTTTTGTTTTTTAGTGTGTCCTTTTTGGTTTTTGCGACAGGATTTCTCTGTAGCCCTGGTTGTCCTGGAACTTGCTCTGTAGACCAGGTTGTCCTTGAACTAAGAGTTCTACCTGCCTCTGCCTCTGCCTCTGCTGGTATGTACCACCAGTTTTTTATGTGTATGTATGTCTGTGTCCTATATGTATGCCTGGTGCATAAGGAGGCCTGAAGAAAATGTCAGAACCGTCCCCCCTCCAGAAACCCATAGCCTCTGAAAGAAACAGATATTGAGTGCTCTTAAGCACTGAGCATCTCTCTAGCTCCTTGTTTTTCTTTGAGATAGGGTCTCACTATGTAGCCCTGGCTAGCCTGGAACTTGCTATGTAGACTAGGCTGGCCTTGAACTCACATGAATCTGAGTGCTGGAATTAAAGGCGTTCATCCCCAGAACCAGTTAAAAATGTGTGTGCGTGTGTGTGCTCGCGCATGCTTGCAAGCGCGCTGAGAAGCCCTCTGAGGCCAGAAGAAGGGAATCAGATCCCCTGGAACTGAAGTTACAGGTGGTCTTGAGCTGCCCTGGGACTTTTGGGAACTAAACAGCAAGATTAGTACACCATGAGCCATTTCTTCAGCAGTAAACACCTTTTAGACGGTCTCACTGTGGGTTCCTGGATAGCTTGGAAGTCCCTGTATAGACCAAGCTGGCCTAGAACTCTTTTAAGAGTTCCTCAACCCTTCCCCGTGCCTGGATGAAAAGTTTGACTCTAATTCTACTAGTAAATTATGGATGTTTCAAAAGCTAATCCAGGGAGCCCTTTCTTACCCCTATAGTATTTATCTCTTCCAGTCTTTAACAAGGATGTCTATTTGTTTCATATTACTTCTGTCTCCAACTTTATCACTTGGAACCATAATTTGTTTCCATGACATTGTTGCTAGTCTTAGACTAGTTAAAAAGAAGATGCTTTGCTTTTTTTGAGTCTCCCTATATAGCCCTGGCCTCTTGAGTGCTGGGATTAAAGGTGTACACCACCACACCCAGCTTCTTTTTTTGTTTGTTTTTGAGATAGAGTTCCCTTCTCTAGCCCTAGCCAGTCTGGAACTTGTTATCTAGAACAGGCTGACCTTGAACTAACCCAAAAAAAAAAAAAAAAAAAATCTTCCTTTCTCTGCCTCTGAGTGCTGGAATTAGAGGCATGGGCTACTATCCTTGGCCTAGATACCATATCTATCTTGTTTTCTTTCTTCTTTTTTCCCTCTGTGGTGCTCTTGCCACACAACTTTTGGACACAGTAGTTCATCATCTCTATTACACAGAACTTATGCTGAACTAAAGCCTTTCTGTAAGTACATTCTATCCTCTGGTTATATCTTCTGAAGAGGTAAATGTTCTCCTCAGTTACCATCCTTCCTCATTCTGCCCTGAGTGTATATTTTATCAAGGCAAAGAGCTAGGTATTGCATTGAGCATACCTTTAGTCCTAGCACTAGGGAAGAAGACTGAGTTTGAAGATAAGACTATGGTACTTAGCAAGACCTTCCTGTGTTGGGGGGCAGATAACTTCAGGACGTAAGCACTTCCTTGTGAGTTTTACCATATTGTTCTCCTTTTGGTTTAATGTGAGGCTTTAACCTAATCCATGAAGCTGCCACCTGCCCTGGGCCTGTTTTTTCACTGGCCTCCCCCTTCCCTGACCCTGTCCCCACAGCCTTTCTCTGTAGCTCAAGCTGGCCTAGAACTCAGAGATACACCTGCCTCTGCCTCCACAGTTGCTGGATTATAAGCATGTGCCACACCATGCCCACCTCTCATCCTTTTGGGGACTCAAACATACATGTAAAGTGAGGTTTGCTTTGGAAGCAGGGCCTGGCCAAGTTAGCTACTAGTTTTAGACCCTCATCCTCTTGAGATTATGGAGTAAGTAGCTGACCATATGGGTTATATCAATTTATTTAAGAATGGATGGCTTTACCTTCAGTGTAGTAACCATTAAAGCCCCTTCCCACATCCACCTTCAGCTGAAATAGCTCTTACCTTCTCACCTCCTGATTCTTTGTGGGTTTTCCTTTGTGCTGGGGATTGAAATCCCAGGCACCATGAATATGGCAAATACTTCACCACTGAGCAGATTTTCAGTCATAATGACAGAATTTCTACTTTGTGGGTACCGGAGGTTGAACCTCAGGACCCAGCATGCTTTCACAGCACTCTACCACATAGTGTGTGGTGTGTGTCCACAGTTGTGTCGTCATGTTCTCAGAGGCTAGAGGAGGATGCCAGGTATCTAGCTCATCACTCTCCTGTTTACTCCCTGTTTGCTTAGAAATAGAGACATTTGGGGTTGGAGAGATGGCTCAGAGGTTAAGAGCAATGTCTGTTCTTCCAGAGGTCCAGAGTTTTATTCTCAGCAACCACATGGTGGCTCGTAACTATTTATAATGAGATCTGGTACTCTTTTCTAGTCTGTAGGCATACATGCAGGCAGAGTACTGTGTAAATAATAAATAAATAAATCTTAAAAAGAAATGGAGACAGTTTATTAAGAAAAGGAAGGCACTCTTGAAAATGGGCCAGTGAGGAGAAAAGGGGCTTTTATTTTAATTTTTTTAATTATTTTTAAATATAAAGGCAGGGTTCTTATTCAGTTGGACTGGCCTTTCATTGACCACACAGTTACGAAGGATGGTCTTGAACTTCTGGTCCTCTTGCCCCCACTTCAGAGTGATTGAATTACAAGAGTGCACCTCCTCACCTGATTCCTTCCTAGAACTCTAATCCCAGAGCCTAGTGCAGGCTGTGCAAGCACTTTGCCAACCAAGGTTGTACAACCAACATTGTAGTCCCTTCCATTTTATTTGTTTATTTACATAAGATTTTACTTTTGTAGTCCTGCTTGGCCTGGAACTCTGTATAGACCAGGGTGGCCTCAAAACTCTGCCATACAAGTGTTGGGGTTAAAGGTGAGTGCTGCCGCTCCTGGCTCTGTATATATAATTTTTTGCTGCTGTATTTTAAAGTAAAATTCTGATAATCCAGTTATTTTACCCACATACACCTATTCTCAGCTTACATCCATACGAAAGAGAGCCAGCCCTCCAGTTTACTCACATGGTTGCAGTGCTGCTCTCACACAAAGTCAGCAACACGTAGTTAATAATCAGACCCCTTGGTTATCTCAAAAAGTCTTTACTCTTGAAACTTGAAAGCTTTAGTTTCCTGTCTGTTTTTCTCTCTCTAGGACCACTTTGGAGCCATTTGTTATGTCTTATTATTGTGGGTGCTCACTATATCTAAAGTACCACTCTTACTAAAAATCCTTGCTCCCAAAGAGAGTACATTCTGTGTATACAGTTAGATAATGAACAATATAATAAATGGCTTATCAGGTAGGTTTTGTTTCCTTTTCTTTTTATAAGACAGGGTCTGACTATAGAAGCCCAAATTCTCCCAGTGGCCCTACCTCCTCCTAGTCCTACTGTTCCTGTCATACCGTGTATGGTTCTTCAAGCCCTCACTGACCTCCTTCCTATTTCTCACACTGTCAGGCCTAGGTGAGCCTTAGAGTTTTGATCCTCCTGTCTCAGCATCCTGAGTGCTGGGATTGCAGGAATGTACCGTGATGGATGACCCTATCATATAGCTGTTGCTGAGGAAAAATACAGTGTTGAAGAATACTGTTTTTGTAAGTGTGGCCAAGGAATGCTTCATAAGAAAGACATATTTTGGCGAGGGTAAGGGGATAAGCCATGCAGGTGTCTAAGGCAATTCTTCTAGGCAGATATGGAGCATAAAGATCCTAGGCAGGAAACTGCCTGACAGTGTGAGAAATAGGAAGGAGGTCATTGAGGGCTTGAACCATGTAGGGTGTGAACAGGAGCAGTGGGGCTGGGAAGATGTGGGGCCGCTGGGAGGATTTGGGCTTTCATTGTCATGAGATTGAAAACTTTTGACAAAGGGCTAAGGAGGACCCAGGTTCAGTTCTAGCACCCACATGACAGCACACAGTAGTCTGTAACTCCAGTTCCAGAATATTTGACACTTTGTTCTGGCCTCTGAAGGCACATGTGAACAGAATACTCATACACATAAACTGTTTTTGTTTTTTAATTGGTGAGCACTGACCAGAAGAGTGTATCTACTTTTCTGTACCCACCCATCCCTATACCATACCTGGGAATTAAGCACTCTACTGCTGAGTTGTATTTCTGCCTCCTTTTTCTTATTTTGAGACAGTGTCTCACTAAATTGTGTAGGCTAGACTTGCCATTACTGTGTCAGGTAGGTCATAAACTTGTGATCCTGCTGCATGAGTAGCTAAGATTGCTGGCTTACAACCACCAGGCCACACTTAATTTGCAGTTTGCTGTTCGTTCTTTATTTATTTATTTTGTGTGCGTTAGTGTGAAAATGTCAGATCCCTTGGAATTGGCATTACAGACAGTTGTGAGCTGCCATGTGGGTGCTGGGAATTGAACCCAGGTCCATTTGGAATAGCAGGCAGCACTCTTAACCACTGAGCCATCTCTCCAGCCCCTTAGTTTGCTGTTCTCATTGCTGTGGTCAAAAGTAGGAAAACTACTAAGTAGAGCACTACAATAATCCAGGCAAACTTGGGCCAGAGCAGCTTAGGTCAGAGTGAGAACATCAGAAATGGGATGATAGACATACGTGCAAGTTGCTGGCATAATGTGGAGTATGAAAAAGCTTTATAAAAGACTTACAGTAACTTGTGGTTTTCCACAGTTGGTAGCCATCCATCAACATGTCTATATGATACAAATCTTAATAGCCCAAATTCACTGCAACTGGATTATAAAACAATAGTTATAAAACAGCTATGGTGGTGCATGTCGGCAGTCGCAGCCCCCTGGAGGTTGAGGCAGGGGGACTAAGGTTTCCCTGAGCAGTATAGCAAGACTATCTCAACAACAGCAACAAAAGTTACTTGAATAAGAGAAAATTCAGCTGGGTGTGGTAGTACTTGAGAAGTGGAGACAGGAGGAAAGGGTGTTCAAGACCAACCTGACTTACATAAGACTGTCCCAGGACCTTAAACAAGTAAATAAAATAACACTGCAGGGAAAAGATCAGTACAGCAGATGACTCTTAGGTCTATCTAGTGCTTATAAGAGAGTCTCCTTGGACCACAGGCCTGAGCTACAGCTCTGAGTAATTCCTACCTAAACGTCTCCTTGCTCTGTCCTCTATCAACACCGTCTGCCCTTTCTTGGTCTCAAAGTCTAAATAACCACTTACTCAGAATTAGGTATCCCTTTCAGTCTGTTAGAATATCCTTTCAAATGGCTGTGTCTTTATTGACTAAAGTGAGGGGTCATTTTCTGTCTTTTCATTTTTTTTTTTTAAACAGGTTCCCTAATTGAGCAACTAACTACAGAAAAATATGAGTGTATGGTGTGCTGTGAACTGGTTCAAGTTACAGCCCCAGTGTGGAGCTGTCAGAGCTGTTTTCACGTCTTCCATTTGAACTGCATAAAGAAATGGGCCCGGTCTCCAGCATCTCATGCAGGTTATTTATTTCTGTTTCCTGAGTTGTTCTCACTTACTGTTTTGATAAATTTGGTTTTAAACCTAGCTTAAAAATACTAATTCCTAGCTGGGCATGGTGGCACACACCTTTGATCCCAGCACTTTGGATGAAGAGGCAGGCAGATCTCTAAGTTCAGGGACAGTTGGAGCTATCTAGAGAGTTGACCCTGTCTCTTAAGCACTTTATCTCATGTTTTATTACTGAACTTAAGTTGTAGATCTTAAATAAACTAGCTAAACATAGTATGAAAATAGGGTATAGTAATGAAATCAGTAATTTTTATTGAAAATGATAGGTTTCATTGAAATGGCAATCATAAAAAGCATTTGTTGGGGGCCTAGAGCGATGGCTCAGAAGTTGGGAGCACTGGCTATTCTTCCAAAGGTCCTGAATTCAGTTTCCAGCAACCACATGGTGGCTCACAACCATCTATATGAGATCTGGTGCTCTTTTCTGGCATGCAGTTGTACATGCAAAACATAATACATCTGTTTAAAAAATTATTATTTTTTTTTTTTTAAAAAAAAGCATTTGTTGGACTAATGAAATGGCATGAAGGGGAAAGGATAATTTCTACCAAGCTTGAATTTGATGCCCAAGTGCCACATGGTAGAAGAAGAAAACCAGCTCCTGAAAGTTGTCCTCTGATACTTCCACGTCACAGCTCTCGAGAGTACACACACAAAAGGAAACCTAATACAAAAATTACTTGAAAAAGCATTCATTACCAGGTGTAGTGGCACACACACCAGTACTTGGGAGGCAAAGGCAGATGTATCTCTGTGAGTTTGAAGCCAACCTTATCTACATAGCAGGTTTCAGGACAGCCAGAACTATATAGTAAGACCCAGCCAAAAGAACCAAATATGTATATAGTATGTTTAGACATTTATATAACTTGTTTAATTTCTCCTTTGGCTATTGTTGTCTCTCCATTTCACAGATCTTTGTAGTGCTATAGGCCCTACCTAAAGTACACTAGTATTATGGGTAATACAGATATTGCTGATAGTGGGCTCCCAGTGCTGTCTCTTTTCAAGTCAGTGTTCAGATATTGATGGTAGAAATGGTTGAACAACATGGAACCTACTTGAGTCACCATATTAATAGGTCTTTGCAACCTGAATACAGTACTTAATGACACATTCAGCACTGTGAATTTTTTTTAAGAGAACTTTATTCAGAAGCAATAGGACAGAATTAATGCACTGCAGAGGGGCAGCTCTGGGGGATAGTTAACTTAAGATGCTTAAGTATCTGATAATACTCGGTGTTTACGTCTCACTACTTAAGTGGTGTGAATAGATTTACTTGTCTCTTTCTTTTTTGAGACAAGGTCTCATTAGATCATGCTGGCCTCAAACTCACAGATAATATGCTTATGCTTTCTGAGTGCTCGGATTAAGGGTGTATGCCACTATTCTTGGCCAGATTTTAATTTTTTTTTTAACTGTGCTGCTTTTTCAGGGGGGTGCAAAAGATTGAGCCTAGGGCCTTGTATAGACTAAGAATATTCCCTACCAATGAGCTATATATCCCTAATCCAACTTATGCTGCAGAAAGAAACTGTATTTAATATATATTTTCTCTCTCTCAGATGGCCAGAGTGGTTGGCGGTGCCCTGCTTGTCAGAATGTTTCCGCACATGTTCCTAACACGTATACTTGTTTCTGTGGTAAGTTTGTTTGCATACACTGGGACAGTTTTTATTCATACATTGTACCTCAGTGGTCTGCTGGGCTCATTTTAGAAGTTACTGATAAGGCCTGAGAGTCTTAAGAAGCTTTACTGTTGTCCTCATGCATTCTGTCACCAGGTAAACTCATAGGCCTTGGTGCTCTTGGCAGGCTATTCTAAAGTGGGTCCCATGCATATCTGAAGCTGTGGTGCTGACCTCTGGGTTTTAGCATAACCCAGAACAATCCCATGGCAGAGGAAGATATGTGGGTTCCCTCTCAGTGCTGGCTGTGTAGCAGCTTTGACATTCTAGATTTAAGCAGCATGAATAAAAATAGTGTTTACAAAATCAATCATTTGTCTTTATAATGGAGAGACTTTCTATAAACTAGTAATGTAAACTATCCTTGTATTTTCTCTCTATATAGAATAGTTTTTCCTGGTTTTGTTTGTTTTGAGACAGGATCTTAATGTATAGCACTGACTAGCCTGGAACTTACTATATAGGCAAGGCTGGATTTCAACTCACAGAGCCCCATCTGTTTTTGCCTTCCACATGCTGGGATTAAAGGCGTGCAGAGGCAGGTAGATCTCTGTGAGTTCCAGGATATTCAGGGCTGTTACACAGGAAAACCCTATCTTGAAAAACAAAAAAAAAAAAAAAAGATGTGCTATCCCGTTCAGCCCCCTTTTCCTATTGTACAATAGCAGCAGCTTTCTTTGATCTAGATGCCAATTTCTCCTGCTAGCAGTATGTCTTTTTTTTTTTTTTTCCTCCTTTTAGTGACTAGTCTCCAGTTGATTTTGTTTCTTGACAATTTGTTTCTCCCTTTGAACAATGCATTAGAGTTTGCATCTGCTTTTGTTGTCTCACTGAAACTATGTTCAAAGGTCATCAGTGGCAGTGGCCATATGGGCTTATGTATATAATTAACATTTTGGTAGCAATGACTCCCTTGACACCTTTGACCATTCCCTTCGTTAAAAAAAAAAAAAAAAACAATTAGCATCAGGTGTGGAAGCACACACCTGTGATCCCAACACTCAGGGAGGCAGAGCCAGGGAGTTCTCTGTGAGTTTGAGGCCAGCCTCGTCTATACATTGAGTCCAGGACAGCCAAGGCTACACAGAGAAATCCTGGGACGGGGGGGGGGGGGGGGGGGGGGGGTGGTTTTTTTTTTTTTTTTTCTTTTTGTATCCTACCTTTGTTGTCTGTCCTAAGCAATTTGCTCATAGTCCTCTTTATTTCATGATGACAAGCTGTTTTTAATTCCTTGATTCTTTCACTAACAAACATGTTCTCACTCCCCACCTTTTTTTTGGTCCTAGGGTCAAATCCAGGGTCTCTCACACATGCTAGGCAAGCACTCTGCCACTAGCTATATCCCCAGATCCCCTTTTCATTTTATCTCCGTTTACCTGTCTCACTTCAAATGCCTTTTTTTCCAAAGGAGGGTCATTTTGTTAATAACCCCTTCTCACTTTAGCCTCTCCATGTGTGGAATCTATTGATTGTAAATGTGTTATTACCAAAGTCTGAGTTTTGAACATTAATTGCTATTAGTAAAGGAAATGAATATTCTTGAGTATCATACTGGGAAGGTAATGTGAATTAGAAATATGAGGTCACTGGGGAGTCAGGCAGACAGAATAATAGCAAGGCTTAATTACCTTAGAGGGTAAGCATTTTTTTTTTTATGTTGGCTTTTTTCAGATAGTTTTGCCCTGTAGTCCAAGCTACAGGAAGGTCTCCATGAAGATCTGTATAGTGACATTGACTATGAAATTGCATCCCTTTTCTGCCTACTATGAAGCTTTAGAGTCGGTCTCCTCCTCTACAGGAGTTTCTTGTCTTTCCAACTCACAACCTCTTCCTGGTTCACTCCAGAGCCTCTGTCCCATTTTTACCCACTCCCTCAGCTCCCACCTAGTACTAGACTAGCTCCCAGCCCATGGAATATGGTAAGGAGATGCTCCACTCTGCGAACCCTTTTTTTCTTTCTTCTTTCTTTTCTTTTTTCTTTCTTTCTTAACATTACTATAAACACTTTTTTTGTCACTCTAAGAGGATTTATTAGTGGTTTATCCAGACAGTATTTCTTTTGTTTAAAGATTTATTTATTATGTATACAATGTTCTGCCTGCATGTACACCTACACACCAAAAGAGGGCACCAGATCTCATTATAGATAGTTGTGAGCGATCATGTGGTTGCTGAAAAATTGAACTCAGGACCTCTGGAAGAGCATACAGGGTTCTTAACCTGAGCCCTCTCTCCAGTTCTCTAGTCAGTATCTTAAAAAAACAGATTGTGTTCAATAGTCAAAATGTTATTTTCACAAGTAAAAATTACTTTATCTTTTCAGGTAATCTTGACATTAAGATTTGTCATGCTCAGAAGATGACTTTATTACAGCCAGCTCTTTGTTTTAGAATATGCAGTGACATGGTTGTACTGCTGAAAACGCTAAGTTTTACACTCTCTAGTTGTACTGTGTTGATTCATAAAAGTTGAGAATGTGGTTGAAATTTATAGCACTGATTCTCATCTGTTATGTTGTAGGCAAAGTGAAGAATCCTGAATGGAGCAGAAATGAAATCCCACATAGTTGTGGTGAGGTTTGTAGAAAGAAACAGCCTGGCCAGGACTGTCCACATTCCTGTAACCTGTAAGTTGGAAAGATAGACTTTTACAGCTGTCCAGTGGGAGTACTTAGCAAGTGGCTTTATGTGCACTTACCATTGTTGTGTAACAAGATGGGATAAAGAGGGGTGTGAACCATTTGCTGAGTCTAGAATCTTTAGCAGCCACACTACATAAGTAATTAAATCCTTTTCACAGTCCAGTGATGTGTAGGTATGATCGTTTCCACTGTACAGATGATACTCAGAAAAGCTAAGCCTCATGCCCAGTCTTAAAATGCTAGGATGTGATGGAACTGGGTATTAAAAGCCAGTGGTCCTTCCACTCTAATACCATGCTGGCTCTGAGGAGAAAGACCTTCTGATGCTTTATAGGTGTTTATAAGATAGCCTGGGAAAGGCTTTGTGCAGCATTCTATGTGATAGTTACTCTGAAGGTGTGAGGAATTCCATTACCCACATGATTAATTAGACTTTCCTCCAATTGCCCTTAATTCCCAAAGGATTACATTTGCCATCATTTAGTATGCTCCTCCCAGAATACAAATTGCTGGGAATTAAAGCCAGGTCCTTAGGAAGAGCAGCAAGTGCTCTTAACTACCAACCCATCCCTCTAGTCTGTAGATTCTAGGTTTTTGTTGTAGTTTTTAGTTTTTGTTTTTTGAAAAAGATGTGAAAGGAGAGGGGGACCCGCTAGATTGGGAGGAGGGATAAGAGAAGGCAGTTGGTGGGGGAGGGTAGGCAGCATCAAATATACATGATATACAGGTATGGAGCTGTCATAAATCCGTTATCTATGTTTTGGGCTTTATTGTTTGTGTATGTGCATGCCACAGCACCTGTGGAGGCCAGTCAGTACTATCCTTCCACCTTTACATGGGCTCTGGAAATGAAATTCAGTAGGTCACCTGGCTCAGAGAGCAAGCCATCTCCACTGTCCTGTTTTACATTTGTTTTGTTTTTTGAGACACAGTTTCACTACGTAGCCTTGGCTGTCCTAGAACTCTGCAGGCCTCTGCCTCCCCAGTGCTGGAATTAAAGGTTTCGTACTACTACTACCCGGCCAAACAGAGGAGGTGCTTTTTTTTTTTTTTTTAATTTATTTTCTGTGTGTGAATATTTTTCTGCATGTGTGTATGTGCAGCACGCTGTTGTTTTCCAAGGCAGGAAGAAGGCAGTGAATCTCCAGAACTGCGGTTATAGATAGTTGTGAGCTACCGTGTTGGTTCTAGGAATTGAACTCTTGGTCCTCTGGAACAATAACCAGTGCCTTTAACTGCTGAGCCATCTTTCCAGCCCCTGTTTTATGTTTTAAGACAAGGATCTCATGCTATAGTCTTCACTGCCCTCAGCCACTCTGTTATCGTCATACCTCAGCCTCTTGAGTGCTGGGATTATAGGTATGATCCACCATGCCCAGCAGAAACCACTGTTTTGTATGACATATATTCACTCTTTTAAAGATGCTCCTCCAGTTTGTAGAAATTCCAAAAATAGGGTTGAGTTAGCTAGGTGGCTGTGGGTAAAGGTACTTGCTACCAAGACTGAGACCTGAGTTTGAACCTTAGGAATGTACATAATGAAAGAAGAAAACTGGCCCCCACTTCTTGTCCTCAGAATCTCCACATGGACACCATGGACCATGTACACACACAAACATAAACATACACCTAATGTGATTTTTTTTTAAGTTCCAAAAATATTGTAAGTAAAATTTTTTTAACCAGTCTATAATTGACACTGATTCTTCATAAAGACAGTATTTATCTGAATATATTTAAATTCCATTTTGTAACCTATTTTTGTTCTAGCTTCTATTCAACATTCTGTTCAGATATCTGGTTCCTAGAGCACATCACTAAGCTCAATTTCTCCCACAACCTCTCGCCCCTGTGCCAGGATTATGTGCCATCATCTTCTGTTTCTTATCAGCATGCTGTCCCTCATGTCAGCCTTTTCACCGTTACCATCATCAGCCCAGTGCCTGGTTATTATTTCACCAACTAATAAGAACATTTCTTGTCTTGGTCTTGGTGGTTGAGAGCACTTCCTCCTCCTTGCTCCTCCTTCCTTCCTTCCTTCCTTCCTTCCTTCCTTCCTTCCTTCCTTCCTTCCTCCCAGCTCTCCCACATGCTAGGCAAGTGCTCTGCCACCAAGAGTAGCCAAGTATTTTTATATACATACTGTTATAGTTGAACAAAGGCCATATAGTTTAAACCCAAACAAAACCAATTTTGAGTTAGGTTTTTTTCTACAATGATTATTATTCAGAAATGATAATGCTGTCAGCTTTTTCTATGTAAAAAAAAAAAAAAAAAAAAAAATGTTACCTTGGCTGGCCCAAAACTCACTGTGTAGATCAGACTTATCTCAAATTTGCAGTAATCCTCCTGCCTCTGCCTTCTTAGTTCTGGAATTATGTGCTATCTCATCCTTTTAAAAATATTAAGTAGCTTTGAGAAATACTAAGACATTCCATAGTAGACTTACTGTTGCCTGTCCTAGTCTGCTTTTGTTGCTATGGTGAAAAAAAGAAAAGAAGAAAAACCTGACCAAAACCATCTTGGGAAGAAAAGGGAACCTATCATTGAAGAAATCCAGGGAAAGAGCTTAAGTAAGAACCTGGCTAAAGCAGAGGCCAGTAGGAACACTGCATACTGGCTCTCTTCCTCTATTCGTTTTCAGCCAGTTAGTTTTCTTATAAAGCCCAGGACCGCCTGCTAGGGTAGTGCTACCCACCGTGGACTAGGTCCTTTCCTATCAGTTATCAGTCCAGTGTCCCCAGACGCATTCATAATCTGATGAAGGCAGTCCCTCAGTTGAGGCTTCCTCTTCCCTGTTGTGTCAAGTTGACACCAAGGTTAGCTGCCATGCCTATATTCATAGTAGCACACAGCTCTGGCAGCTTTGTTTTTAGCTTTAATACATAGAGATGATTTGTTCACTGACACTTCCTTTTTCCTCTCAGTCTCTGCCATCCTGGACCCTGCCCACCCTGTCCTGCTTTTACAACTAAAACTTGTGAATGTGGACGGACCAGGTAAAGTTAGAATTAGACTGAAGAAAAACTCAGTTTTCATGATTTACCTGTGAGTGTCTAGCGTAAAAGATTAGTAAGCAAATAGAAATGAATGGCGGGTGTAAATAAAGTTAGCCCTTGGTACCCCTGGGGACTTAGTTTCAGGACCTCTAGGGATAAAAGGCAGTGGGGCAGCAAAATCAGGGTATTTATTAGAACAAACTAGAGTCATGGCCATATGCAGCATAAGTACTCTTGGTCCCAAAAAAATATTATTGTGCTTCTGGTCAAGTATTATCAGCTCTGGGCACCCTGTCCTTTCTTTCCTGTGTGTAAGAGGAGGAGTCGCAGTGGAGAGTCCAGGTCTGACCCGCCCTTCCATGGCTCTTTCCCTCCTTCATGCTGTCCAATGGAATAGGATACATTTTCAGAACTGCATTTCACCAGTATTAGAAAACAGCAAAAAGAGAAAGACAGGGTAGATAATAGGAACAGAATAGAAAGAGGTGGAGGGAGAACAGTTGAGGAAATAAAAAATGGTAGGGGGCTGGCAAGAGTGCATGACTGTTGGCAAAGATCTGACTCAGTTCCCAGTGCCCATGTTGGGCAGCTCACAATTGCTGGTCATCAGTTCTGGGGGATATGACATCTCTGACCACCATGGGTACCTGTGTTCGTATTCACAAACATACTCTTGCAAAAGCATACTCTTAGAAAAAGTTGGGAACAGCAAAGTCAAGAAAAACATTTAATGGGTGTTGAGGGAAGGATGTGGATGTTACCGCTCTTTAGTCTGTAGTAGGAACTTGATGATGTGTCTGTGTCTGTCTTTATAGGCACACAGTTCGCTGTGGCCAGGCTGTCTCTGTCCACTGTTCTAATGCATGTGAGAATATTCTGAACTGTGGCCAGCACCACTGTGCTGAGCTGTGCCATGGAGGTCAATGCCAGCCTTGCCGAATCATACTGAACCAGGGTAAGTGGTGTACATACCTGTTAGCAATGCTTGTGGGCTTTTCTAGAATTGTGTGGTATATCGGTTACATTGCAACAAGACTGCTTCATAGAAACCTGCACTAGATGGGGGATCCAAGGAACGGGGATCAAAAATCAAGCTCACAGTGAGGCATCTATTTATACTTGCTAGAGTGTCTAAAATGAAAAAAGACTGAAAACCAAATGTTGGCAAGGCTAGTATGTTCATCAGTTCACTGATTCTAAAAGTATTCATTGTTCCCTGCATCTATATATCTGACAAATGTTTGTTTGGTGAGATAAGTGAGTTTTAGAGTAATAAAGATGCACATACTCTGCATGTACACCTGTATGCCAGAAAGACGGTATCAAGTCACATTATAGATAGCTGTGAGCTACCATGTAGTTGCTGGGAATTGAACTCAGGACCATTGGAAGAACAGCCAGTGTTTTAAAACTCTGAGCCATCTTTCCAGGCCCCAAATAGATTGTTTTGTTTTTTGTTTATTTTGTTTTTAAAGATTTTATTTATTTTATGTATGTGTATTTTATCTGCATGTACACCTGCATGCCAGAATAAGGCATAAGATTCCGGTACAGATGGTTGTAAACCACCATGTGGTTGCTGGGAATGGAACCCAGGACCTCTGGAAGAGCAGACAGTGGTGTTATCTGCTGAGCCATCTCTCCAGCCCCCTTGTTTTCTGTTTTTTCAGACAGGGTTTTGCTGCGTAGCCTTGGCTATCCTGAACTTGTTTTGTAGATCCCTCTGCCTCTGCCTCTCTGAGTGCAGGGATTACAGGCATGCACCACCACTCCTGGCTTGTACATGTTCTTATTAGAAGACAGAATGTCTTTGGGAGCAGGTGTAGGTGTGCCAGTGTCTGTATCATGCATACCTAGTGCTCAGTTACAGCCACATAGGTGCTTGGGATTTGAACCTGGATCCTTTCCGAGAGCAACCAATACTCTTAATCCACTGAGTCATCTCTCCAGCACTGGGCTTGTTTGGTTGGTTGGTGTTTTGTTTTTCCAGACAGGGTTTCTCTGTGTAACCTTGGCTGTCCTGGACTCACTCTGTAGACTAGGCTGGCCTCAAACTCAACAGTGATCTGCCCGCCCCCGACTCCCTAAATGCTGAGATTGCATGTGTCCCGCCACCACGCCCAGCTGTAATGTTCATTTTTAAAATGTAACAAGTTTATGTTCCGGTGACTTGAGGCTTTCCTCTTACTGTGTGCCAGAAGCAGCTTTTGGTTCTGTTTAATATACTGTTTTATTTTATGGATATGATTATTTTAACAGGTTCTCACTATGTAGCCCTGTCTTGCCTAGAACTTGGTTTTAAACCAGGCTGGCCTTGACATCAATTTCATTTATTCTGATGTTAATTTTCTGTGCCAGTAGATAACCTAAATTGCCCTTAGGAAGGAATTACCACAGAATTTCCGTTTCGTTTCTACTCTTGTTTGTTGTTGTTTTATTTTGTTTTGTTTTGGAGACAGGGTTTTTCTGTGTAGTCCTGGCTGGACTTTGTAAACCAGGCTGGCCTCGAACTCACAGAGATCCACCTGCCTCGGCTGGGATTACAGGCATGCACCACCATGCCCAGCTTGTTTCTGCTCTTATGGGCAAGATATACATGCATAGATTAATTTGTGATAAATATCCATTGTGATAAATATCCATTGTGAAAAATATAAAGTGATACTTACCAGAGAAATTACATAGTTTAATAAAAATGAACCCTTGCTTCAAATTTAACAGTAGTGTTATTTAAATTACTAATGTTTTCAATATAAAGTATCAAATCCATTTTGGATATGCTGAAATGGAGATGTGAGCGTGAACCCCTCTACTACTGCTGCCAGGTTAGCTGGCAGGTACCCATGACATATACAGGAGCTTCACAGTCCCTGCTGTTCCACCATTGCCTTAGATCCGGAATTGTGTCCTTTTAACTCAAGGCAGTCTGTTTGCAGGATGTGCTACAGTGGCACTAAGAGGCCGGCAGAGGAACAGAACTCTCTTTGTTCCCTGTAAAGCTCTTAGGTGGGTTGGAGAGCTGCTGTATCAACCACATTAATTTCTGCATTGTGTCTCACTAATGAACATTTATAGGTTTGGGGGAATATTGTTAATGCATGGATAGGTTATTGATTTGTCTTTTAAATTGTGTCCTCAAGTGTGCTACTGTGGCAGCACCTCCCGAGATGTGTTATGTGGAACAGATGTGGGGAAGTCTGATGGATTTGGGGACTTCAGCTGTTTAAAGATATGTGGCAAGTAAGGTTTCCCTTTTTTTGTTCTTATATTAAAGTTGCTTTTAGATGAAAGCTTCATTTTATGTAACAGTTATGTAATTGTCTCTTCTTTTTCTCAACAGGGACTTGAAATGTGGGAGCCATACCTGTTCTCAAGTGTGCCACCCACAGCCCTGTCAGCCTTGCCCACGCCTCCCCCATTTGGTGCGATGCTGCCCTTGTGGCCAAACACCTCTTAGCCAGTTGCTGGAACTTGGAAGTAATGGTCGGAAAACATGCATGGATCCTGTCCCTTCGTGTGGAAAAGTGTGTGGCAAACCCTTGTCCTGTGGTTCCTCAGGTAATTAGTTAACATAAATTTGTTTTTAAAATATTTATTTAGGGGACCATACCAATTCCAGGGTATCTGATGCCCTCTTCTGACCTAAATGGACACAGAGCCCACACATGGTACACAGACATACATGAAGCAAAATATCCACACACATAAGGTAAAAATTAAAAAAGATTTATTTAAAGTATATATACAAATGTTTGGCAGTACTGATGCTTTTTTCTTTTACTAAAACTACACTTGTGAAAATACAATCTGATCTCTCCAATTTTATCGCCAGCATCGTCAGTTCTCTTAGCAGCCTACTCTAGTATAAACACCATATATACTTTTACTGATCTAGCATTCCACAGGTGTTCACATGTAATCTTTTTTAATAGGAACATGCTAAAATAACAATGGATGGGATGAACTGAAATTCTAAAGTATGACAAAATCTCAGCCAGTTAAAGCATTCTAGGAAAGCCTTATAGCTGAGCCTCCTGTATAGCTGAGGTTGAGGATAATACCTCAGCTACACAGGAGTACTTTTGAATGAGTACTTTTCTAAACTTTTCCTTCAAGACAGGGTCTTGCCCTGGCAAACTGGTACTGTGTAGCTCAGCCTGGTATCATTTTGGTGGCTATCTTCCCAACTCAGCCTCTCCAGGGCTAGAACGATAAATAGGAGTCACCATCCCCAGATCATATTATTGTAAAAAACCAGTAACTGAAGATAATTTTTTTCCGCTTGTTGATATCTTTCTTGTGGACCTTGGGCCCACTGAGGCTTTTCAGACTATGTGCTCTACACACATGTGCAGTTTGGATTGTGTGCTTTCTGAGGCTTTTTATGTACTTACTAAGGTGATATATGGCCCTGGCTCTTGTTGTTTATTTCTCTTAATATTTTTACTGTGGCTGCCTTCTGATCTGTATTGATTCCTTGCTTCTTCCTCTTTTGTGGCTTTTGATTATTTGGATATAGAAACCAGAAAATTTCACTGGAATTAGATATGAAATAATACTGTGAGTTTTGTTTTCAGAGACAGGATCTTGTATGTAGCTCAGGCTCTTACAGAATTCACTGTGTAAGCCAACTATCCTCTCCCCCTGCCTCAGCTTCTCAATGGCAGGATTACAGACATGAACCACCTATCTTACTCAGTAATATGAGTTTTTGAGTGTGGCTTGGTCTTTGAAGCATGTATGGATGTAGCTTTGCAGTTACTTGGTGGCTTCTTTGCTGAGTGAGGGTTGAAAAATAAAACTTTAGAAAAATAAATGTAGGCATCCTATGAAACAGTAGACAGGCTTAGTTCAGTTTCATGTAAGTAAAAAGCGAGGATTTATATCAGTGGAGAGCCCTATGTAATTCTTTTTCCGCAGTCTGATTTTAAAATTGTATATATTATTTATTATTATTTTTAGGTTTTTCTTTGGTTTGGTTTGGTTTGGATACAGTCTCGTGTAGCCCAGGCTAATCTTGAACTTTCTTTGTGTGTGAAATAAAGACCACGCTCCTGGAAGAGTTTTTATACCAGCTTCACAACACAGAAGCCCTATCCTGAGGTTCAGCTACTCTGCTGGCAATAAGAGAAAAACTAGTGATGGGTAGTGAAAGTGTACAGCAAGAGACAGCAGTAGGCTGTGCTGCTGGACCTTGGTAACTATGCCGCCGCTGATATTTCTACTTAGCCCAGACCAAGCTCTGCTTTATCACTCGGCTACATCTCCATCCCCTAACAGACTGTTGTATATTTATTTTCTTTGGTTTTAATCACTTGATTCTCATTAAAATTTTCAAACAATATGGAAATATGTGGGAGAAATTGAGTTACTGTACACCTTTCTGACTTCACAAGTACTACTCTACTGGTTTTTAGACAGTCTCATGTCTCATTTGATTGTGTTTATGACTTTTCCTGAGTGCTGTTATGCCAACTTGCTTTTTGTACTTGATAGCATAGAGGACAGAGATCAGTTATCATCAGACACAGGCTCTGATGAACTTTGCTCTTTGGCTAAACTGTCTGGCCCAGCCTGGCTGCTAGGTGGCTGTTACAGATCCAAACTTAGGTCTTCATTTTTGAACAGTAAACACTTTACCTAATAGGCTATCTCCCCATCCTAATGAAATAGTTTGTTGATAATATGTGGTCAGTATTTAAAAAACTTTTTTGAAACTTAGAGAAATAACTAAGCTAATCTTTTAAGTTGGTGTAATGGTATATGCTTGTAATTCCAGCATGCTACCCTGGTACTGGAGGCAGAAAAATTAGGAGTTCAAGGGCCAACCAAAGCTACATGAGGCTTGTCTCAAAAAAAAAAGAGAAAGGAAGGAATAGAATGTGGTGATACAAACCTGTAACCCCAGCACTTGAGAGGTGGAAGCCTAAGGGCCCTTTAGAAAATAATAGATGCTCTTAATTAACAACAATTAAGCAAAAGAAGAGCAATTCATTAGTCCATAGTATAGGCCAGCTATTTCACTAGAAAAATGCCAGGGAAAGAGATGTCTAAAAGGAGCCTTTGTAGAATCAGGAAAAATCTCAAAGACTGTCCTCTTAGCCATATTTAATAGGATCAGACTGCTGAGAAGTCTGTGCTCTGGGTATAGTTTAAAAAATAAAAATTTAAATTTAAAAAAAAAAAAGCAAATTGATAGGTCAATGGAGTCTCAGTGTGGTCCAGACAAGGCACAAAGTTTAAAAGAAGTGGTTGGGAAAAAAACCTGCTAAAACAGCTGTCATCCTGTTGAAGTGTGTACTTCTAAGGCTTTGCTGCCCAAAAAATCCTAGTGACTTCATACTATAAGGTAAGTGGATAGCTCTAAAGTAGTCTGACCACTTCACAAAACAAGTAAATCAACAACTAAAAATGCTGGACATGTTATCACAAACCTTTAATCCCAGCACTTACTTGGGACACAAAAGCAGCAAGTTTCTGTGAGCTAGAAGCCAGTCTACCTGGTCTCTTTAAAGAGTGCCTGGCCAGGCAACATGAGACAATGCCTCAAAAAAAAAAAAGCTATGGAAGTTCAGTGCTACCTGGTGGCGGCAGCAGCACACACAGGTAGAACTCTGAGTTCAGGGACAGCCAGGGCTACACAGAGAAATCCTAGCTTGAAAAGCCAAAAAAAAAAAAAAAAAAAAAAAAGAAGAAGAAGAAGAAAGAAAGTTCAGTGGGGTAGGTAAAGGCACTTGCCATCAGAGCTCATACATGGTGGAAGGAGAAAACAGATTCCCACAAATTGTCTTATGATCTCTATAAGAGTGCCATGCCACTCCCATGCTCATCCACTCAACACACATACACTGTAAATAAGTAGATGGGTGGGTGGATAAATGCTTTTTTTTTTTTTTTTTTTTTTTTTAAGCTATGGAAAAGGGAGACTGTTTAGGCAATCCATCGTGTGCAGAGAAGCAAAGCAAGGAAAGCAGCAACAGAAACTACTTATGAGAGTAACCAGATGTCAGACTTAGGAAAAACTTCAAGATACCCGTTATAAGTATGTTCACTGAGCCAAAGGAAACCATGTTAAAGAGGTAAAAGAAGGTATAAGGTAGAGTCACATCAAATAGAGAACATCAATAAAGAAAAAGAAACTGGAGCCAGTCATGGTACTTTACGTACACAGTACTCCTAGCACTGTAGAAGAGAATTATGAGTTCAGATCATCCTCAGTACAGCGTGACCTAAAAGCCAGCCTGGGATACAGGAGAAAGGCATATTACAGAAACACAGATTTCAGAGTGGTGGCACATACCCATAATTCCAGCATTCAGGAGACTGAGATGGAAGGATCTTGACTTAGAGCCTGTCCTAGGAGGCTGTGTATTGAGACTGTTTAAAAACAAAAATAAAGAACCAAATGGAAATTTTGGAGTTGAAAAGTTTAACAACTAAATTTAAAGGTGCTCCGCAAGTGATTTGACCTGACAGAAGAAATGATCGATAAGACGAGGGATTGCTTACCTAGTGTGTATGTTATAGACCCTGACCTGCAGAAAGTGCTGGATTTGATCCCCAGCACTTTATAAAAATTTATATTCAGTATGAGCTATAATTCCAGCACTCAGGAGCATTTGTAAGTTTGGGGCCATCTTTGACTACGTAAACGACAATCAGAAGTTCAAGGTTAGTCTCAGCTACATAGCAAATTTGAGGTAATTCAGAGATACACAAAACCCTGTCTTAGAAAAAATAAGTGGAGCGCAGCAGTGGTAGCTCACACCTTTAATCCCAGCACTTAAGAGACAGAGGCATGCAGCCTCTGAGTTCAAGGCCAGCCTGGTCTCAAGTTTCAGGACAGCCAGGAATACACAGAGAAACCCTGTTTTGAAAATCAAAAAAAGAAACAGGGAAGGGAGAATAAAAAGAAAAGAGGGCTGGAGAGATGGCTCAGAGGTTAAGAGCACTGGCTAGCTGTAATTCCAAAAGTCCTGAGTTCAATTCCCAGCGACCACATGGTAGCTCACAACCATCCATACATGAGATCTGGTGCCCCCTTCTGGCATGCGGGCATACATGCAGGCAGAACACTATACATAGTAGATATATAAATCTTTAAAAAAAAAAAAATGAAAAAACAGAGCCTCATGAAAATGTTATTAAATACATTGTTATACATAGAGAAGGAACTAAGAGGACGGTTGGAAAGAAAAGAAAAATACTTGAATAATGGGTGAAACTCACATTTATTGGAAAACATGTATCAAGAAAGTCATCCATGCAAAGAAATTGATGCCCAGACAGGTAATAAAAATATTTACAATCAAAGACAAAAAGATAGTTTTAAAAGCATCAAGAGAAGATAAGTTATGACATACAAGAGAACTCCTTCCTATAAGATCACTTATGAGTTTGTCATAGAAGCCATTCAGAGAACATCACAGGTAGACAACATATTCAAAGTACTGAAAGGAAAAAGAGGAAAAGTAAGACACTTCTAACAAGACTCTTGTGTGTAGTTAGGCAATCTTTTGAAAGTGATATAAGCAAAAACTGTAGATTCATTGCTAGCTTTACAGTAAATAAATACTAAGTGTAATTCTGCAGGCTAAAAGCAAGTAAGCACAGATAGAAATTCAAGTCCACTTCAAAAAAATAGAGTACTAGAAAGGTCATTTTAAAGGATAGAGTAGAATTGTCTTCTTGGCTGAGACTGTTAGCTCAGCGGGTAGACTTCTTCCTAGCATGAGTGAAGCTGTGGATTCAGTCCTCAGCACCATACAAACCAAGTCTCAGTACTTGAGAAGTAGAGGCAGAGAATTTGCTGGTCAATGTTACCCTAAACCACATTGTATTTTTCAGACCATGTCTTCCAAAACAAAACTATATTTTTCTTTCCAGTTGACTTTAAAAGCAAGTGTTGCTGGCAGTAGTAAGATAGCTCAGTGTTTAAAGGTGCTGCTGCCAAGATGAATGACTGTGTTCAGTTGCTGGGACCCACTGGTGGACAGAGGGAACTGACTCCTGCAAGTTGTCCTCAGACCTCCACATTGCCTCATTTCATACACCTACACACACAAACGGTGTCACTTGCCTTTTCCCAGCACTCAAGAAGCAGAGGCAGGCAGGTCTCAGAGTTCAAGATCAACTAGGTCTCTACATACACTGTGGCATGTGTACAATTCACACACTAAATAATAAATATAAATTAATGGCTTGTTTTGAGACTGGATCTCACTGTGTACCTCTGGCTATCCTAAAACTCACTCTCTAGACCAGGCTAGCCTCAAACTTAGTGATCTGCCTGTCTCTGTCTCCCTGAGTGCTGATATTAAAGGCATGTGTCACCACTCCTGGCTTAAATATAAATGGGATAAATATAAGCTATATAAAAGAATTAATGTAAGGGAGCCGCTGAGTTGGACTGGGAGTATAACTCCCAGTTATACATGTATAATCTCCTGGGATCATCCTTGAGTCTCTGAAAGAGGACTTGTCCTGGGTCTGGGAGGTCCGAATCTAATACAAAGCAAAGGTCAGAAAGTCTGCTCTGCTTCAGCATATTCCACTGACTGGTGTTAGGTTGTGTCTCTGGAAGCACCCAGCCTATTGGATGAAGGGAGCTGAGGACAAAGCACTAACCCCTTCCTTGCTCCCCCAGCTCTGACTCTGGAGTTACTCAAAGTAGAGGTGAAAATAACAGTGTTGGTAATAAATTTGGAAATGTCAAAATAAGTCACTGCAGTTTTCACTGCCAATTCTTTTCCTTTTTATTGAAGATTTCATTCATACCTGTGAAAAGCTCTGTCATGAAGGAGACTGTGGGCCATGCTCTCGCACATCAGTTATTTCCTGCAGATGCTCTTTCAAAACCAAGGTAAGTCTAAAGACTATTAGAATCGCTGTTGTCATTACCTTTTAAAATGGTGATTGCCCAGTTTCACCGTGGTGTGTGATTCACTGACCACCACCAGTGTACCATGGATAGGCTGGAAAGTGCAGGGACAGTCTTAGTGAGGCGGCATCACCAAGTGCACTTGTAAGGGAAGAAACAGCACTGCTGTGATTTAGCCACATGAGAGCTGGACATGGCCCACAAAGCTCCTCATTTCATTCTCGTCGGAGCTGAAGGCCAGTGGGCCCCAGGACCAGTCACAGCTTGCTAATTTGGTAGACTCTGAAAACTGTCATAGTCATGGTTGTAGTTTTATTGCCAGGAAAGGACACAGATTAGAATTAGTAGATGAAACATGTAGGAAAGAATCCAAGAAAGGACCAAATGTGAAGCTTCATCTTTCTTTCCACATGGAATCAGGACAGCATTCCCTTCTCTGTATCTGTGTGTGGTGATGTGTAGGGAATGTTCCAGTCAGGAAGGCTCACAAAAGCTGGTGGGTCTAGAATGTTTACTGTCATACTCTGTGACCCCTAAGACTGTTCACTGTGACAAGCCTATTTCTATGCCATATGTTCAGACTTTCCAGTTGACACAAACCAGATTCAAATAATGGCATTTAACCAAGACAGTACCTCTTGAGAGTCAAGTCCAGAAGGCAGATATCAGTTTGATTTTATTCCTAGGTAGTGTGTCTGGGCACACTAGAGAGAGGGACAGCTGGCCATTTTGGAGTTAGACTTTAGTGCCCATTTCTATCTTTAACCAGAAGAGTTAAAGATAGCTATCTTGGGATAGAGCCTTCTAAGTAATGAGCTGTCCTGTCATTTCAGCACCTATCAGGACTTCCTCTGAAGAGCTGGGGTGGAGACAGACCCCAGCATTTGATTGTTTTTCCTAAAGTGGCCAAGGTCTGGGCAACAACTGATTCCCAAATAATTTTGAGGACTTAGTTAGCCTCAGAGTAAAAGAAAAAAGAAAACAACACAACTTATATGACGGAAATTATTATGAGGTGTTTTTTTTTTTTTTTTTTTTTTTTTTTTGCAAGTCACAGTAAATGCCAGCTCTCAAATCACTTTCTACTTTGTCGATGCCAGATTAATGGCTGTCAAGGGGTTGGGGGTGTAGCTTAGCTTAGTGATCAAGCATGTAAGCCCAGAGTTCAGTCTCCAGACCCAAAAAAAAAAAAAAAAGAACAGGTTTGAGATGTTGTGATTTAATTAAGTCACTGATTTTGTAAATGCCCTCAGGTGTTCTTAGTGTCTTTTGTGAACAAGGGTTGCAAGTATGGTCAGACACAAACTACAAATAACTGTTGTATGCTTGCATTTCTGCTTTCTTGCTTCTCATTTGTGCTGTCCTTGTGCTCACTAACCCATGGCAATGCATATATTCTTCAAAGGCTTTGTAAATTGAAATTCTGAAACTCTCTATAGTTGACTATCAGTATGAATTCTATGAACCCTTTTGACAAGTTAAAGATTCTCTTCAGAAAGCTGATAGATATCATTGCCTCATCATTTAGCCATGTTGATTTTTCTCTTTGTTTTGTTTTTCAAGACAGGTTTTCCCTGTAGTCTGGCTGTCCAATAACTCTCTCTGTGGATCTCAGAGATCTGCCGCCTCTGCCTCTGGCCTCTGGCCTCTGCAAAGCATGGATCACTATGCCTGGCTACATGCATTTTTCACAAAATGTTTCTTGCAATGGGAGAAGGCAAATTTGTGGCAGTGTTGTTTTCTTACTCTTTCTTTTTCTTATTGGTTTGTATTTTGTTCTTTTGACACAGTGTCTCAGTAGCCCACACTGTACCTCCGAGGCTAGCCTTGAATTCAGAGCTCTTCCTGCCTCGGCCTCCAGAATGCTAAGATTATTGGCATCATGCCCAAATAAGAAGCTTCAGTTTTCTACACCTCTTCACATCTATTTACAGATCCACTTGCCAGTTTTGTAAAACAGAACCGTTTCTACAAAATGAGCCCAGGAGATGAAGCCTCTAGGCTCCTGCCACTTCATATGAACCGATTCAGTTCCCATCATCCTTACCACACATGTTCCACATGACCATGCCTCAGCAAATGGCATGGGATAAGCCTCTGGGGCTCCTCTCTCAGAGTTGAAACCACAGAAATAACGTTTCAACATTCAAAAGCCTGCTGTATTTTGTTTATGGTATTTTCAGGAGCACATTAAGTGTTTTACCATATGTTAAGTGATGGCAGACTATTACCTATTTTCAATGTTTAACCTTCTTTTATTTTTTAATGAATTAATTTTTTGAGACATTGTCTCAAAAAATTGTGTTGCTTGGGTATCAGGAATTTATTGTCTTGACCTGCCTCCCAAGTGCTGGGATTACAGGTGTGTAGCAGCATGCTCATCTTCAATTTTCCATTCTTACATCTGCTTTTCATGGGTTTTTCTGTCTGTGTCCTGGGTCAGGCAATCGTATTTTAATACCATTAGCCACCCCTTTCTTTTCAGACTTTGTAATTCCTAATCCTCTCTGAGTTTCAAGACCAGACCACAAAGATTGTTGGAATTGTATTGCATGAAACGTTGGGAAATCTGGCATCCTGTTGTGAGTCAAGCATACTGACATAATTGGGCCTGCTCCAGGCTGGGGTTGGTGAATAACTGTGTTATAATTTGTATTCTTCTGTAGGGCTCTTTTTAATTACTCCTAAAGTAGCTACTGTTTCTTTTTCTTTTTCTGTAGGAGCTTCCATGTACCAGTCTTAAAAGTGAAGGTATGACCGTGAAGGAGCACAAGGGAATTTTCTGGAATGAAGATAATGCCCTATGTATTCATAAAACATTGAGTTATGTGTTTGTCAAAATTCAGTGAGGAAACATTAAGATTTGTCCATTTAATTTATAACTGTTATGTTTATAGCTTATAGTAAGAGGAGAAAAGTCATATATTGAATTCTAATTAGTAGATTTCTTTTTTAAAAAGTTGAGCTAAATGCAGTCATGTCTACAGCTTACTCTGAAACACATTTTAAAAATAAATTGAAGTCAGGGGGTATGTGCCTACAGTCCCAGCATTCTGGGACAATTGAGAATTTGAAGCCTGGCTGAGTCTCTAGCATAGCAATTTCAGGCACACCTGCATTATATTTCTATATAGTTGCCAATTTTGAAATAAAAATAAGGCTGAGATATCTCAACTAGTAAAAGCTATACAAGCCGATGACCTGAATTCAACCCTAGAGCCCCACATAAGCCAGATATGCAAGATGGGAAGCATAGACAAGAGAATTGGCTAGACACTCAAGGGACAGCGAGTCTGAAAGCTACAGAAACAACAAAATACCTGCCTAAACGGGTGAAGAAAGAGAAAACCGATTCCCAAAAGTTGTTCTCTGACCTCTGCTTTTCTGTATTTTCAAATACAGAAATAATGTTTTAAAGGGGGCTCTCTAGAGATGTCCAGTGGTCAAGAGTGCTGGCTGTGCAGTCGTGAGAGCCAGTTAAGGAAGTAAAGGCATCATCTCCATGTTGTACTCTGAGCTCCGGGCAACCACATGTTGCTGGCTTCCAACCTAACGACAACAACTGGAGAGACTCAACCACAAAGGAATAGGCAGAGTTATAGAGGACATCTGAGGCACGCACCTGTATGTGTTCACACTCACACACATACACAAAAGCACAAAATCTTTTTTACATAAATAAAAGGGGAAACTGGAGAGATAACAGAGGTTAAGAGTACTGGCTGCTCTTCTAGCGGACCTAGGTTTGGTTACCAACGCCCCCAGGGGGCCTTAGAACAGGTTCTCTCACATATCCAGGGCTATTCTAGAATTCACTATGCATCTAAGAATAACTTTGAACTTCTGATCCTCCTACCTATACCTTCCGAGTCCTGGGATTACAGATGTGTACCACCATACTTGGTTTATCCAAGTTCTAGCCTAACCAGGGCTACACAGTGACAAAACAACTCTGACTGTCATAACTGGGTGTGAAGTGGGGTTTTTGTTTTCATGTTCTTAATGGCTAATGATGTTACACATTATATACCTTATGTTTCTATGACCATTTGTGTGTCTTTTGGGAAAAAAGATCTAAGTTATTTATTTTTATTTTTTTTTATTTTTTTAACTAAGTTGTTGGTCTTTCTGTTGCTATTTTGTAATATCCAATATCTGGATCTTGTATGCTTTTGAGGTATATGCTTTGCAAGCATTTGTTTTGTGAATTGTTGCCATTTCTTTATGGTGTCCTTCAGTGTCATACACAAAAGCTTTTTTGTTGTTGTTGTTGTTGAATCCAATTTATGTTCTCTGCCTTTTGTGTCTGCCTTAGGTGCTTAGGTGCCCTGGCCACCACCGCCTACTTCTCTTCCTCCTCTGTTCTTTTTTGGTGAGGGGAAGGGAGAATTGGACCCGTCTTTTCTTTTGTATGTGGTGCTAGGGATACACATGTACTCTATCTACAAAAGATGATAAAAGTGGTGCTAGGGATACACATGTACTCTATCTACAAAAGATGATTGCACCTTTTCTCTACATTCTTACCCATACCATGTATTAATCAGCTTCGGGGTTTTGTTGTTTTAACAGTTGAAAATAGTATTTTTAAATTATTTTCATCAGTAATTCATTTGTATTTCTTCAGCCTATAGTCACCCAGATATGTCTTGAATGAATGCTTACATCTTTTGCATGTTTATTTTTTTTCTTTAATTGGCTGTAACAGATGCTACATTTATGTGTGACAAGCGGTGTAACAAGAAACGATTGTGTGGACGACATAAATGTAACGAGATCTGCTGTGTGGTAAGTGGACTTGTCATTTGTTAGTGTTACCTGATTCCACTCATCTGGAAGCCTCAGTCCTCTGGAATGTGACCCAGATTTAGAAATCAACAGGAGTCCCTAAGCAGCAATGAGAGAGCTCTCGTCCCTGTGTGCACTCAGCAGGCACAGCCTTTTTTAGGCTTTTAGTGATACCCACTGGCCCAGAATAAGAAGAGTATGCATAGAGAAGGCCTCCAACCCCAGTCCTAAGACAACTTTATTTTTTCTTTTTAATATTTCTTTTTGTTTTAGTTTTGTGGGTTTGTGTCTGTGTTGGTCAGTTTGGGGATATGTATACGTGAGTGCGTGTACCTGCAGGAGCTAGAGGTGGTAGGTCCCCTGAAACTGGAATTATAGTTTTGTAGGCCACATTAGAGTGGGGAACCAAACTTGGGTCATCTACAAAGCAGTAAATTCTCTTAACTGTTGAACCATCTCTCCAGGTTCCAAGACAACTTTAGATAAGAATGGTCCTCTGGGAAAGTGACTGTGTTGCCCAGCACAGACTGGTGTGGAGTTAACAATTTGAGCTTTGGGTTTCATGCTTTCATTGGGCCAGATCAGAGGTCAAAATGAATTTGCAGGGTTCTCTTTGTTTTTTTAAACATAGGTCTCAATGTATTGCCCTAGTTGTCCTTGAAACTTAGTTGCCTTGTAAACCAGCTGACTTTGAATTTAGGCTGGATTCTTCTGCCTCTGCCTTTCTAGTGCTGCGATTAGTATCGTAAAGTCACCATGCCTAGCTGACTGTGGCTTTTTTAAAAGGCATAAGTTTCATTTATTTAAAATACTTATTTCTGGGATGGAGAGATGGCTCAGAGGTTAAGAGCACTGTCTGCTCTTCCAGAGGTCCTGAGTTCAATTCCCAACAACCTTAGATGGCTCCCAACCATCTATGATGACAACTAGTACCCTCTTCCAGCCTGCAGGTGTGCATGCAGGACATTGTATGCATCATGAATAAATAAATCCTTTTAAAAGGAAAGCACAGAGTCTATTTAAAAATATATAAAATACTTATTTCTATAGACTTAATTGTAGGACCACTACCTGACATTGTTATTGTGTTACATATATGTATATACACATATATAGCGAGAAAGAGATAGAGATGCTGTATTTGGCCTCTGATCCGACCCACTGAATATGTGTGTACATGTATCTATACAAATATATGTACACATATAGACAGATACATACAGTATGCATCAAACAAGGCAGACTAATACTAATAACGAAGTACAAGTTGGGTTTTTTGTTGTTTTGTTTTAATTTTTGTTTTTTGTAGCACTAGCTGGCCTGGAACTTACTTTATAGAAAAGTAGACTGGTTTGGCCTTAACTCACAGAGATCTGCCTATCTCTGCCTCTGCCTCCCAAGTGCTGGTATTAAAGGCATGCACCCTGATACCTGGCACAATATTGTTCTTTAAATTTTTATATTCTTCAGCTAGGCAGCCAGTTAAGTCAGTAAAGTGCATGTCTGACAAGCATGAGGACCTCAGTTTAAACCCTAGCACATATAACAAACGCTGGGCATAGTGGTATGTTCTTGAATTCCAGTGCTGTGGAGAACAGGACAGGCGAATCCCTGGAGCTTGGCCAGCCTAATGAATGAACTCCAGGTTAATGAGAAAAGGAAGCAGACAGTGTTCTGAGGATGACACCTGAGGTTGTCTCAGGCAGCTCCACACATTCACACACATAATATGAAAAAAAAAAAAAATTGTCTTCACAAAGTGAAAAGTGACTGTATTGTGTTTTATACCAAGGTTGATAAGTCAGTTTGGAAGCCTAAAGACTTCCTCTGATTATCAGAAATTTCAAACAAAAGCAGACACATGGGGCTGGAGAGATGGTTCAGCAGTTAAGAGCACTGTCTACTCTTCCAGACGTCCTGAGTTCAGTTCCCAGCAACCACATGATGGCTCCCAACCATCTATACTGAGATCTGATGCCCTCTTCTGACATGCAAGTATACATGCAGAGCACTCATATATGTAAAATAAATAAATCTTTAAAAAAAAACCAGCAGATAGTGTAGTGAGACTCATGGGCAGCAAGTGACTAATCATTCCTGTCTTCCCTCCTTCCCACACATCCTTTCATTCATCAATGTGTACACTTTTTTTCATCTTGTTTGTAAAATGGAGAAAATATCCTGAACAAATAGAAATCTCTCCTCTTAGGACAAAGAGCACAAGTGTCCTTTGATTTGTGGGAGGAAACTCCGTTGTGGCCTTCATCGGTGTGAGGAACCTTGTCATCGAGGGAACTGTCAGACCTGCTGGCAAGCCAGTGAGTATTTTCGTTGTGTACTTAGTTTCTGGAGCTGGTCGTAGTGGCACATGTCTTTACTCCCAGCACTAGGGGTCAAAGGCAAGCAGATCTTTGTCAGATTGAGGTTGCCTGGTCTACACAGTGAGTTCCAGGACCACATGTAGACAAAGCTACATAGAAACCCCTATCTCAAAAACAAAAGTTTCCTAGAAACTTTTTGAGTAGCTTGTTTGCTTAGATTGATAAGGGTTATTGGACTAAGCCTTACTATTTCAAACATCTTGAGATTTTTTAGTTATTCTTAACCAAACACAGTAGTGCATTCCTATAATGAAAGTACAGAGAACCATTAAATAAATACATATCTATATGTATTATTATATCCATGTATACAAATTATGAAGGCTTTTTTTTTTTTTCCATCTATTCCCTCAGGTTTTGATGAGTTAACCTGCCACTGTGGTGCCTCTGTGATCTACCCACCAGTTCCCTGTGGGACTAGACCTCCTGAGTGTACCCAAGCCTGTGCCAGGAGCCATGAATGTGACCATCCAGGTGAATCACTCTGTTTTGCCATACCTTGTGTCCTACTCATACCCTGTCCTTTAGAATAGAATGTTGCAGTGTAACTGCAGAGTACTCTGGCCACGCTGGGTCAGCTGTTCCTTGCTCCTCTGCTGCTGTGAGGGTGTATCTATGATCTAAGCCATAGCCAGAACACATAGCATGCCCAGTTCTCCTTTCTTTAGTCCTGAAGCTGTCAAGCACATCCAGCAGTTTGGAAGAAACCCTATTTTGTTTTCTTTCAGAGACTTCTCTTTCTTTTTTACCTCTACTTTTGGTGCATATGTTAACTTAGTTATAGCCAGTGAGCTAGCGGGGGGGGGGGGGGTGGACGACGGACATGCGTATTCCTGTGCTTGACGCCCTGAACTCAATTTCCTGGTCCTTAAGGTGGAAAAAGAAAACCAATCCTGACAGCAAATTATAAAAGAATTTAAGCCAAAAGGTTGATATTAAGTCAGCTATTATGGCACTTTTTTAAAAGATTTATTTTATTTTTAATGTGTATGTGTGTGGGTATGTACATAAGTGCAGAACAGAAGTCAGTATCAGATCCCCTGGAGCAGAAGTTCCGGGTGGTTGATAGCTGCCTGTTAGAGTCCTAAGAACTGAATTAGTCCACTGAGCTATTTCTCCAGCTTTCCATTATGTTACATTTTAATAATTAATTTTCTATATGAATATATGTGTGTATTTTATGTATATTTTCCTTTTTTTCTTAGACTTGTTATTCTGAATGTAATGATTTTAAACTTGGCTTTTTTTTTTTTTTTTTTTAAGTGTACTTTGTTTTCTGACGAGTTGAGAGAGTCTTAGTTTGTAGCCAGCTTGACCTCCAACTTGCCATGTCTTATGCTGGCCTCAGATTCTTGATCCTGAATGTTGAGGTTACAAGCATACAGCACCATATCTGAACAATGTAATACCAATTTGTATTTACTCTTAATTATTTTAAATTTTATTTGTAAATACACATGTGTACATTAATGTGGAGATCAGAGGACAGAAGGCAAGAGTCAGTTCTCTCTTTCTGCCATTTAGATCCTGAGGCTAGAGCTCAGGTTGTTGGATTTGGAGACAAACGTCTTTATCCACTGAGCCATCTTGCCCCCCAATATAGATTTATTTAACTTTATGTTTATGTGTTTGTCTGTCTATCTAAGAGTTGCATGCAGTGTCCACTAAAGAAGAGGGTGTTGTATCCTCTGGATCTGGAGTTACAAATGATTATTAACTGCCATGTAGCTGTTTGGAATCAGACTGAAGTCTTCTTAACTGCTGAGCCATCCCTCCCTCTCCCGAACATTATTTTTAAAATATCAGTAGAGTGACCTATTAATTAGTGGTTCTCAACCTTCCTAATGCTGCAAACCTTAAATACAGTTTTTCATGTTGTGGTGAACCCCAACCATTAAATTAGAGCTACTAACTCTAATTTTGCTGCTGTTATGAATGCTCTTAGACAACCCTTGTAAAGGGGTCATTTGACTCCCCTCTCCTACAAGGGGTCACAACCCACAGGTTGAGAACCATGGTGTTACTGGCTAGGCCACCATTTTTCGTTGATGGACAATTGTTTTTAGTTTTTCTTGGTCTGCTCAGCTTGGTTGCTAGCTGTTGTCTACATCATATTTCCTGAGGAGACATCTACTCCGACTTGGTGAACCAATGAATTTTATTGGTGTTTATAGGAATAGAAATGTCTCAGTGATGGCTGATGTAGTTGTCACCCCAGCATAGGTGACAACTCACAAAAGCTGGGAACCTGGAGCACATTGCACACTGCAAGTTCAGTTGGTCAAAGCCTCCACCAGGCAGCTGGTCTTCTCACAGTGTTTTTGCAACTTGGGCTGTCTCAGAGCGACTCTCTGGTGTCTCTGTGTTGTTCACTCTAGGAGGGAGAGAGGGACCAACCTAGTTCAGTTCCAACCTGAAACTATTTTGAGTCTTCAGGCTTAAGGATAGACTATTTCAATCTTAGAGAAAACTGATACACACTAGTGCATTATTTCATTTACCAACCCCTAGGAAGTAACTCAAGGCACCAGATCCAATACACTAAGTCCAGCCGTATGACTTGAACTTAAAATTAGATGACCAGCTTTCAGTTTTTAAAGTAAACAGCTTTCAGTTTTTAAAGTAAACATAGTAAAACTGAACTAAACAAATTTGTCTGGAAGTGAAAAGCCCTTTTCTGAGAATCTTAGAATAGTGTGGTTTGTAAGTTCCTTTCTTGGTAGTCATACCAGCCCACTTCCCACCTAGCCCCTCTTTCCTACCAACTTGACCTGCTTTTGTTAGCATTTGTTTTCATTTTCTTGAGTGTCTTTTGAATGTGTAGCATGGTGTCAGGCAGAGGGAGCCTTAGAGGATGAGAGAACTCTCCCATTATGCTCAAAACCATACATAGAGATGGGCAAGGTGGCAAGCCCTGTGTTGGAACGCGAAAAGACATGAGGTAGGAAGCTCAGAGTAGAGTACTTACATCAGTGGCACTAAGTGGTACAAATCATTTTTAAAAAAAATTATTTTGCTTACATGTATGCCTGTGCACCATTTATTCCCTGGAACTGAACTTACAGATTTGGTTGTGGACTACCATATGGGTGCTAGGAATTGAACTGGCATCCTTTGGAAGAGCAGCCCACAGTAGAAGCATTTACATAGAATAAGTGACAGATGTCTGGACATTGGTTAGCAGTTGTAGTGTAAAATAAAACTAAAAATCCAAAACAGAACAGCAGACCCAATGGCTCTCTTGGGGATGATAGCAAGGCTACTCTGTTCTTTAAATTCAGCGTGCCTTTTTCCCAGTTTAGCGTTTATGTGTGTGTGTGTTTTCTGTATGTATTGAGTGCTGGCAAAGACAAGAACAGGGCACTTGATTTCCTAGAGTTACACCTGATTGTGAGCCACTGATATGGGTGCTGGGACCTAAATGTAAGTCTTCTGGAAGAGCAGCAATGACCATTGAAAGAAAGTCCTGACTCTAGAAGTTTGATGTTACACACCAGTTAGAATGACCAAATTATTTCTAAAGTTATATTTCTATTTTGCAGTATATCATTCTTGTCATAGTGAAGAGAAGTGTCCCCCTTGTACTTTCCTAACTCAGAAGTGGTGCATGGGCAAGCATGAGGTAAGTTTCTCTCCTAGCTCTTCTTTGTTTCAGTCAGAAATGTATAATTTAATTGCTTAATCGTTTATTTCTGTTATCATCTTTTCATTAAAATTTACCAGGGCCTGGCAAAATGGCTCAGAAGGTAAAGACACTTATCATTCAAATCTGACAACCTGAGTTTAATCCTTTTAACTTAGCACACATACATGCATGCTAAATACACTCAGTAATAATAAAGTAAAATAAATTTTGAAATTTATTTATTTCATGTGTATGAGTGTCCTTCATGTATATTTGCATGTATGTCTGCGTGCCTGGTGCCCATGGAGGCCAGAAGAGGACATCAGGTCTCCTGGAACTATAGCCACAGGTGGGGTTGTGAGCTGCTGGGTGCTGGGTGTGAAACTTGGGTCCCTAGAACAGCTAGCTAGCTGTTAGTAATCGTTAGTAAATGTTAGTAAAACGCTGAACCGTTTCTCTAAACCTGTTCTGTCATTTTAAAATCTGATTGAAACCAAGAAATGCACCTGCGTTGACCATGAGACCACATGTGGGAACTAACCTGGGTCTTCTGGAAGAGCAGAATGTGCTCTTAACTGATGACTCATCTCCCAGCCCCCACACAAACTTTTTTAAGGGCACATTGTGGCCAGCAAGATGGGTTGGTGGGTTAGGGGAACTTGCTGCCAAACCTGATGACCTGAGTGTGCTCCCCAGAGCCATATGGTGAAAGGAAAGAACCAACTCCAACAAGTTGTTCTTTGACCTCTGTGTATGTACACATGTGTGTGCACGCACACACATTAAGTAGATGTGGAGGATGAACATGATCATCAAAATACATTGTACACGAGTGTGAAATTCTTCAAGAGTACATTTTAAATAGCATATAAACAAGGCTGCAAGATGGCACTTACTGGTCTTCCACTGGAAGAGTTCCCAGCACTCACATGGCAGTTCACAGCATTTGTCACTCCACTTCTCCACTTAAAGGAATCCTTTGCCATCTTCTGGCCTGAAAAGGTGCTTACCCAGCCTGGCACCGGAGCTCAATCCTGGGATCACATGGTGGAAGAAGAGACCCAGCTCTCTCAAAGTATCCTCTGACCTCTGCAGATTATAGATAGCTGTGTTTTTCTTTGTTTGCTGTGCTGGGGACTAAACCAAGGGCTTTGCACTCTGGGTGTATTGGTTAGTTTTAAATAACGTGATAAACCTACAATGACCAGAGAAGAGAAAATTACTTAGAACAGGTTGACCTGTGGCTTTGTCTGTGGAGAACTGTCAGTTGTTAAAGTATGAGAAACCCCAGTGCACTGTGGAAACCTAGGCATGGGTTCCTGAACTGTGTCAGAGTGGAGATCAAGCTGAGCAGCAAGTAAACAAAGAACCAGACAAGCATTTCCCTTTCTCTCAGCTGTGGATGGGATGTGATAAGCTTCTGAGTACCTCCCTGGTTTCTCCTGCCATAATGGATTTAATTTGGAATTGTAAGCTAAACCATTTCCTACCAATGTGACTTTTTCTTAGGCTATTCTGTCACAGCAATATAAATGAGACTAGAACAGACACTGAGGAGTGAGGTTGTTGCTGTGATAAATCTGACCATGTTTTTGGAGGAGAAATATGGAAGACTTTGGAACTGGACTCATGAGTGCTGTTGGCAGAACTGAATGGGCCATCCTAGTGGAAGCTTGGAATAAATATGTGCCCTGTGAGGACTGATTCTTGAGGTTTCAGAGGGAAGCAGGGACTTTATCAGGAGTTGGGCCTTTTCTTATAATATTTTGGCTAATAATCTATGTGTGCTGATCAGACTAAGTCTTAAGAAAAGCCATGATTGATGAGGAGAAACCTACCATGTCTCCCAGAGACAGTAGGGTTCTTGGGGTCAGCACAAAGAGGGAACATAGCTGTTGTCCAGGGGCCAGGCTACAGCTCAGGCCTGCAGCAGAACTTGACATTGTAAGTTACCACATGATGCTGGTTTGAAGGCACAAAGGGTCATGGAGAGCAGCTGAAGCCAGACAACGTGTAGCAAGGTCCAAGTCCCTACAAAGAGTCCTGGAGAGGCCATTGGTGAAGTTGAAGTCTCAGTAGCAGTGGAGATGCCACCGAGAGCTGCTAGTGTGGAATGGATCCAACCTAAAAGAAGCTATGTGTTCTGTTGAAGGAGTTGAAGAACTGAGGCTGCCTAAGCCCTTGGGAGCCTGGAAGATTACATTATGACTGAGTTCTACGTATTGGACATTGATCTGCAGGATTTGGATTTACAATGCAGGATTTGGTTTTGCTTTAGCATAGCTGCTTTTATGCCCTAGTTCTTCCCTTCTGGAATAAGAATGTTTTAAGTATGTAACTTGTTCTTTATTTTGCAGGAGCTCACAATTAAGAAACTTTGGACTTTTAAAGAGACTTTGGACTTTTGAAGTGTTGGAATTTTTGAAGACTTTGGGGGGCTTTTTTGGAGTTGGACTATATTTTATACTAAGATATTACCATGAGATTTGGGGACAAGAAATGAAAACTTACTGCTCAAAGTGACGTATTTGTGTGTTATCTTGAAAAGGGATGAATTGTGTTGGTTTAACTGTCAACTTGATGCAACCCAGAATCACCCAAAAAGAGGGTGCTAATGAGGAACTACTTAGATCAGATTTGGCCTATGGGTGTGTCTGCAGGTGTTTTTCTTGATTGTTAATTGATTGGGAAAGATACAGCCCACTGTGAGAGGCACTGTTCCCTAGGCAGAAAACCCTAAGCTGTATGAATGGAGAAAGCACGATGAGCAGCAAGCAAGCAACATGCATGTATCCATTTCTCTCTTCCCTTGACTGTGGATATGACTAGCTACTTGACTTTCCTGCCTTGACTTCAATGCAATAATGAACTGTAACCTGGAATTGTAAGCCAAATAAATAAACTCTTTCCTCCTCTGTGTTCTTTTTGTCAGGCTATTTTATCACAGCAACAGAAATAGCAAGGGTCCTGGGACTGGACTATATCCCATGGATGTGTGATACATGCTTCTCCTACTCCAACATATTTTGTGACCTGTTCTTGTTACCTCATAGCATAACTCTTGATATCTATAACATGTTTTGTGTAGATGAATGCTTTATCTGCATGTATACCTGCATGCAAGAAGAGGGCATCAGATTCCATTATAGATGGTTGTGAGCCATCATGTTATTGCTGGGAATTGAACTCAGGACCCCTGGAAGAACAGACAGAATAGGCATTTTCTGCAATTAATTATTTTTTGTGGTAGTTGTTTTTTGTTTGTTTATTTTGAGACAGGATTTCTCTGTGTAGCCCTGACTGTCCTACAACCCACTCTGTATCACAGGCTGCCTTCAGACTCAGAGATCCATCTACCATTGCCTTCCAAGTGCTGGGATTAAAGGCATGAGCCACCACACCCAGTCTCTTTTGGTAGTTCTTAAGTCATAGCCCTTCACATTCCCTCTCTATAATGTTCTATAGTGTGTGTGTGTGTGTGTGTTTGCTTTGAGGCAGGATTTTATATAGCTCAAATTGGCCTCAAACTTGCCATGTAGCCAAACATCATCTTCATTCAGTCAATAATTGAATACCTGCTTTATGTCAGGTAACAGGATAAGTGTAGGATAACTTGGAAGTTAACAAAACTGACACACCCTGCTTTTATGGATCTATCATTCAGGAATGTGTGGACAGATAGAAACAAACCATTGCAAGTAGAGTTATGTGCAGAATAAAGAGTCCTGGGGGGACATCCTGCCAAAGAAAGGCATTCTAGACGAAATAACACTGTAAAGGGCACTAAGATATAATAAGCAAATCATATGAGGGATGAGTGACAAAAGCACAGAACAGTATCCCTGACTCCAAAGCAATTGGAAGCATGTATGTTCTAGATCTGGAGGCCTCTTCAGAGCTAGACATCTAGAAGTTAGATGTCACAGGAGCTGGATGTGGTAACACGTGCTTGTAATTTTTGCATTGGGAAGGCTGAGAGAAAGATCGAGAGTTTGAGGCCAGCAAGACTCCGTGTCAAAATAAGAAGTCATGTGTTAATAGAATAAAAATTGACTCCAAGCCAAGTGTGATGACTAAGTGCCTTTAATCCCAGCAGAGGCAGAACCAGGTGGATCTCTGAATTTGACCCCAGCCTGATCTGCAAAGCATGCCCAGGACATCCAGAGCTCTGTTACACAGAAAACCCTGCCTCGAAAAATAGAAAACAAAAAGTCTCCAAATTTCAAGGGCTGTTAAAGCATTTTAGTGGATATATAAAAGTAACCTTGAAGTTGATCATAGTAATCCCAGCACTTGGGGGAGTGAAAGCGGGAGATTGAAGAGTTAAAAGCTGGGACTGGAGAGATGCTCTTCCAAAAGGTCCTGAGTTAAATTCCCAGCAACCACATCGTGGCTCACAAGCATCTATAATGAGATCTGGTGCCCTCTTCTGTCATGCAGGTACACATGCAGGCAGAACACTATATATAATAGATAGATAGATAGATAGATAGATAGATAGATAGATAGATAGATAGATAGATAAAGCTTTAAAAAAATAATTAAAAGTCAATCTATACTATTAGATCCTGTTTCAAAAAAAAAGTAATCTTTGATTAGTAATAAATTTCTGGTGTGTTTCCAGCAATGGGAGGCCTAGAAGCAGGTAATTTCTCAAGAAATAAAGTGAATTGAGAGTTCCTGTTTCCTCTTCATTTTTAAAGATTTCTGTGTGTGTAAGAGAGATAGGGAAAAGGGTTATGTGCCACAGAGTTGTGTGTGGAGGTCAGATGACAGCTTGCAGGAGTTGCTTCTCCTCCTGTATGGGTCCTGGGAACTGAATTAAGTGTTTGGCTTGGCAGCACATGCTTTTATCCGCTGGGCCAACTTGCCAGTCCTTCCGCCTTCCTTCCTTTTCACAGGGTTACCCGAGGTTATGAGACCATCAGCTGGGACATGTGCTGGAATAGTTGGGCAGTCACATGATACGGCCCTGCAGTGGTGCCAAGCACACCTCTACTAGTTTCTCAACTCAGCCAAGAGACTGGGTGATGACATGATCTCCTCCTAAATTGTATTAGTAGTTTCGGGGAGAGGAAGGAAAAGTTGGAATGTTAAAACAGGGTCTTGCTGTCTAGTTCAGTCTCACTTCAAACCCAGTCGTCCTGCCTAAGCTCTTGAGTGTGCTAGGATACTGTGGTTACAGCATTTTTAAAATATCCCCCATTTACCAGGTCTTGTCTGTTTATTACCCACCTTGGTAAGTTTGTTGGGTCACACACGGCTGTTGCCACAGCTTTATCCTTAAACAGCTTCTGTTTGTCTTTCTTTCCTAACCACTCGGATACTTAGATTTTGAAAATCCGTTGCCAGGCAGTGGTGGTACACACCCTTAATCCCATTACTTGGGAGGCAGAGGCAGGTAGATCTCTGTGAGTTTGAGGCAAGCCTGGGCTCTTGGAGATCCTGTCTCAAGAAACTCTTAAACAGTGCTAGCCACATTGTTCAGCAGATAAAGGCGCCTGCCAGAAAGCCTGATGGCCTAGGTTCAGTTCCTGGGACCCACATAGTAGAAACAGAGAAACAAGTCCTGCAAAAAACTTACATACGTTTGTTTGTTTGTTTGTTTGTTTGTTTGTCTGTTTGTTTTTCAAGACAGGATTTCTTGTGTAGCCTTGGCTGGCCTCAAACTCAGAGATCCACCTTCCTCTGTCTCCTCAAGTGCTAGTATTACAGGTGTATTTCACCCCACCCAGCTGCAAACTCTTCTTTAACCTCTCATGGATACCGTGGCACGCACACACTAAATTAATACATGTCAAAACAACATTCAGTTCATTTACAAAAGAGCCTAAGGTCTAGGAACATAAGTCAGTGGTACAGTATTTGCCTGGGGCTCTTGGTTCAGTCTTAGTATTGCCAAAAAATAAAGGTAAAAGAATGCATTCTAAGAGTGAAAACTCACCCAGAACCCACACAAAGATGAGAATCTGGCTCCTTCTGTCTCTCCTAGTTACGAAACAACATCCCCTGTCACCTGGTTGATATCTCTTGCGGATTGCCCTGCAGTGCCACGCTACCCTGTGGGATGCACAAATGTCAAAGACTCTGTCACAAAGGAGACTGTCTTGTGGATGAGGCCTGCAAGCAGCCCTGTACCACACCCAGAGCTGACTGTGGCCACCCCTGTATGGCACCCTGCCACCCCAGTTTACCCTGCCCTGCGTCAGCTTGTAAGGCCAAGGTAAGTGTTAACTCGACCACTCGTGAATCCAGAGTTGACTTCAGTGGCCCCTGTATATATGTGCATCTAGAAACTGCCAGTCGTTAAGGGAAGTCATACAGTCTGCATGATTTGTGTGAGGTGCTGGTGCTGAACCTAGTGAGCAGGACAGATAACAGCTCAGTGATGACTCAGGCAGTTGGGACTGTGCTCCCCTGGGGGAGTAATTAGGGCCTCGTGGAAGGTAAGTGGGAGATTCAGCTTGGTTGATCTGGAGTCATCGAGGCTTGGACCTTCGTCAGGTGTGTACACTGGATTCGGTGGGGCAAGCTGCCTTCTAGATTTGTCCTTTGAACTGGGAGTAAGAAGAGAAGTAGTTTCCAGAAAGGGGTGCTATGACTTGGGCCTACACCACGTAGCATGCCCATTGCCGCTTCATCAGTTTCCAGTTGTGCTCTCCTATGCTTTGATCTGGAAAAGGCTTTAAAAGGAAACATGCCTGGTTCTCACCCAGTTCTCATAACTAATACTTCAGGTGGAGTTACAGTGTGGATGTGGGAGAAGAAAGGAGATGGTGATGTGCTCTGAGGCGTCCGGTACTTATCAGAGGTCAGTGCTTACATGCATTCTCAAAATTGCTGGGTCTGCTTGAAGGGTACTCATGTTTCTCTTCTCTAATCCCAGAGACATGCTAGGCAGACGGATGCTCTGCCGCTGAGCAATAGCTCCAGCCCTGGGAAGTTGATGGCTTTTGTCATTGCTGTGGGTTCTGTGAAGTTTTGCATGTGCACACATGAAAGCAAAAGGACATCTTGGGAGAGTTGGTTCTCTACCTCTACCGTGTGGGTCCCAGGGATCAAAATGAGATTTCCAGGCTTGGCTACAAGCATATTTTTACCTGTTGAGCCATCTTGCCAGTCCCTTAGAACTGTTTGTTTGTTTGTTTGTTTGTTTGTTTGTTTGTTTTTGAAGTAAGATTGTACATCTAGGGCTGGAGAGGTAGCACAACCGTTAAGAGCATTTATTACTCTTCCAGAAAGCCTGATTCTGGATCCCAGGCAGCTCCTGATGAGGCATAACTCCAACTTCAGGGAATCCAGTCACCTCAGACACCCACATAAACACATGCACAGATGATAATTAATTAAATAAATGAAATAATAAATCTTTAGAAAATGGTTATTCTAATGTATCTGATGTGCTTTTAAGTGCCTTTCTGGGCTGGTGAAATGGCTCAGCAGGTAGCAGCTTGTGCAAATCTGTTAACCTGAGTTCCAACCCTGGAGGGACATTTCTTACCCTCAAAGGATGAAAAAGAACAGATAAACGAGTGGTCGTCTGACCTCCACATGTGCATTATGCATGTGCACTGCATCAGCACACACACGCAATCATTAATATACAGTAATGAAACTAAAAATATGTTACTGCCTTTCTTTCTGATAATTCATAAAAGAATTCTGTGAGCCCTCGTGGTAGCACATGCCTTTAATCCCAGCACTCAGGGAGGCAGAGGCAGGTGGGTCTCTGTGAGTTCCAGGACAGCCTGGTCTACAAAGTGAGTCCAGGACAGCCAAGGCTACACAGAAAAACCCTGTCTAGGGGGGAAGGGAGGAGAAGGAAATATTTTGCTTTCTCTTTTCTCATGCTTTCCTCCCCCTTTTCATCTAATTACAGCATAAGATAGAAAGGAAGGTGTCTTGAAGTTAGGTAAGGTGGTTTAATACCTTACTGCCTTTCCTTGTTGCTGGCACAGGTAAGGTACGCTGTCTCATCACAAGCATAGGCTCTCTGATCTAGTAAATATCCTTACGACCTCCTAAAATATTGACACCCATATGGTTACACAGATCTGAGAACAGAGGTAGGCTATAAAAGGCTATATACATCTCTAACTAGACATGAAGGCATGCCAAAGCTATAGGACAGGCTTACACACGTATCTGATTGGCTGTTAGTTGGTTTTGTTCATTTGTTTTTGGAGACAGGGGGTTTTGATGGGGTTTTTTTGTTTGTTAGTTTTTTCCTTTTGATTTTTCAAGATAGGGTTTCTCTGTGTTACAGCCCTAGTTGTCCTGGAATTCACTTTGCAGACTAGGCTGGCCTCAAACTCACAGCGATCCTCCTTCCTCTACCTTCCAAGTGCTGGAATTAGAGTGGGCCACCACCACTCAGCAGAGACAAGGTTTTACTTTGTAACTCTAGCTGACCTGAACTCACTGTGTATAACAGGCTGTCCCCAACTCAGAGATCTGCAAGCCCCTGGGGCTAAAGGTGTATGCCATCATGTCTTGCCTGATTGTCTGTTGGGCGTTGGCCTGGATGTTCTGGAGATAGACATGGTTCTGTTAACTCTTCACTTCTTGTACAGCTACTCAGAATTGAACTGAGGGTGTATGCCATAGTGTGTCAATAGTTTACATGTACTACTTCAGTGAACACTGATGACAGCTGAGCTTCTAGAATCATGTAAGCTGTCCTGTAGTTGGTGGGTTCTAAGGGAAGCTTCTGTGTCCCTAGTACGGTGAGGTTCCTAGGATCCTGTAGTGCCTCATCTTCCTTTTCTGTATTTCAGAATAACTGCTATTTCTATGGCCTCTAAAATAACAGACATGCATCTTGGAGACTCAGTGGAGACCAACAAGTTCATTACCAAGAAAGAAGTACAGCGAGCCAGGTAATTCTGGAAGCCTGTGCCTTCTTCCTCCAGTTAAGCAGTCTCTGCAGGAATCCGTATATCTCAGCCCTCCGCAGTAGAGAGCCCACACAGTGGGTATCCAGCAGACTTGGGTATTGAGACTCAGCACAACAGCAATGAGCCCTGCTTGGGACACTACAGGACCAAAGTCAGGTTTCCAGGTCTCACTTCAGTCTGCTGACAGAAGGCAGAGTCCTGAATTTGTGTAGCTAGACCCACAGAACCCAGATCCAAAGTGGTGACTGTGTCTAGAAAGGGGAGTGGGGATCAGTCTGAAGCCTCCCAGGGGCTGCTAGGCTCCAGGAGGCTGCCCATCCTCACTTGTAAAGGACCCATTGAGCCAACAATGGAGGCTTAGGGAACACTGTAACTTTCCTCTGGTGGGGGTGGGGTGTTAGTGAAGCCTGAAAAACACATGGCCTCATCACTGCTTTCTGGTCCTTAGAAGGGCTGCAGTGTTCTCCTATAGTCCACCTGCAATGTTCTTACTAGATAGGAGCTGTAGAGCTGGGCCCTGACTACATGTTTCATTTGTTTATCAAGGCTGCAGTGTGATGAGGAGTGCTCTGCCTTGGAAAGAAAGAAGTAAGTAGTTTCCATAGCTTGCTACAGACTTCTCGAGCCCTGTGGAGCTAAAGGGAGGAGCAACCCCTCTTTCACTCAGCCTCTGTTCTGAGTCTTAACTGCTATCGGCAGAGGAATGTGGTCCTAAGAGTTGGATTGTCTAAGATAAATCATTCAGGTAATTTCAGCACACTCAGAGATGTGAGCTGTGTAGTTTTGTCGTGATGTAAATTACACATTTCACGCAAGCTTATTTTGTGACCAGCCACCTTCCTGATTCAGCAGAGGTAAGAGAGGCTATGAAAAATGTTGAATGGGTTTTCTGTTGCAGTGTAACATAAGGAGCTGAGAAGATAATTCAGTCTATAAGATATTTTGCCATCCAAGTATAAAAACCTGGATTCAGGCCCCTAGCACCCAAGGAAAAGTTGGGCATGACACCTATAATTAAGCATGGGGAAGGTAGGAACCAAAGGAAGCCTGGGGTCTCCTAGCCAGCTAGTAGCCAGATCAGCAAGTTCTGGATGCAAGGAGAGACCTTGTCTCAAAAAATAAAGCAGATCCCGGACTCTAGAGGCAGAGGTAGATGGATCTTGTGAGTCTGAGGCCAGCATGGTCTACATAATGAGTTCCAGGGTAGCAAGGGGTGTGTAGAAAAACTCTGTCTCAAAAAGTAAAATAATGAAGTGCAGACTGATCAAGGAAGTACCCAACATCAATCTCTAGCCTGCACAGGCACAGTATAAGCCAGGTGTGGTGGTGCACACCTGTACGCCAGCACTTGAGAGACTGAGGCAGGTCCATCCTGCCATACAGTGTTTTCCTGTTTCAAGACAACACAAAAAGCCAGAATGTCAGCATGTGCCTGTAGTCCCAGTACTTGGAAAGTGGAGGCAAGACAATAAGAAGTTCAAGTCCACCTTTCTCAGGGCTCTGATTTCCCTAAGGGGAATCATGAATGCAGTTCTCCAGCAAGATGGCCCTCCACTTCTATCACTTCTGTTTGACACACAGCTGTGATGAATCTCCAGGATTCAAGGCTGAAGAAAAAAAGACTAAGTCCAAAAGGTTGTTATTTGTATGATTATATATACATACATATTTATATATATGTATATTTGTATGATTATATATACATACACATATATACATACATATGATTATATATACATACATTTATATATACATATGTATGATTATATATACATATGTATGTATTATATATGTGTGTATGTATATATAATCATACATTACAGAAATTTAAATGATAACATTACAGAAATGAGGACTAGACCAGCCAGATCAGATACTGAGCAGGGGCAAAAAGAAAAAAGCAAGTGGGCATAGCTGTTAAAAGGCAAACCAGCGGGATCTTTGCAATAATGGAAATGTCCTGTGCCCCTACATTGGTGCCAGTGTGTTCACTGTAATACTGTACTGCATGTTTCCAAGAAGTTAGCATAGGTAGAAACTGGATAAAATGTTGATGGCATCTCTTCATAGTATTTCTTGTCACTGCACACTAATATACAATTATCTAAAATAAAATGCTTACTTATAAGAAATTTAATCAAAAGATTTGAAATGATCTCTTTTATATCCTATTAATAATAAATTAAGTATTGTAATTTCTTTTGTACTTCAGGGAAAAAAAAAAAAGAGGAAGTTCAAGTCCTTCCTTGGCTCTTAATGAGTTTGAGCCAACCTGGAGTACATGAGATCTTGTCTCAAAAAAACAAAATGTGTCCAGGGTGATTTCTGTAGTAAAAAGGGGTGGAAGTTCTTGATGTGTGTGAAAACATGTGCTGAGACTCCTATAATCTATAGTAAGCTAATGTTTATCTCTTACTTCACCAAAGTCATAAATTAAACTCTATCATAGGTTTGTATGTATAGAAAGCAACCAGTATAGGGCCAGGGATGTAGCTCAAAGAGGTCCTATCTCAAAAACCAAGGTGGAGCTGGGCATGGTGGGACACACCTTTAGTCCCAGCACTCAGGGATACAGAGGCAGTCAGATCTCTATGACTTCAATCCCAGCCTGATGTACAAGAGTCCAGGACAGTGAAGGCTATGCAGAGAAACCCTGACTCAAAAAAGTAAAAACAAAACAAGGTGGACACCATGGAAGAAAACACCCAAGTTGTCTGCATGCACACATGTACATTAAAGCCAAAATGTTTTGGATTCAGGCATCTCTTGGGAATCTTGAAACTAACCACCTGTAAATAAGGGAGAAATGCTGTATAATTTTCCTGTTGTCTTGTCCTTGTATCTGCTTATTTCTCGATCACTTTTAGGAGGTTGGCAGAGGCATTTGACATCAGTGATGATTCTGATCCTTTCAATTTGCGTTCTTCAGCATCAAAGTTCAGTGACAGTTTGAAAGATGATGCCAGGTAAGCAACTGATTATCCACTTTCCTAGCCTGTGGTTCATGAGTGTGTCTATCTAGTATTATAAGATATGGTAGTTAACATGTTTCCTTCCATTATTAAGCCAGATAAAGTTAACTTATGTTGTAAGAAATCACATGTTTAGCTGTCCCTTAGTTGAGGGGTGGTCCCCACAATAGGAGTCTAGGCCTACCAAGGGCTACTCAGGTTCAGGTTGTACTGAAAATGAATGGCTGAGCCATGTCTCATCCCTGCCTCACAGTCACAATCATAAGTTCCTTATCAGGGGCAGTATCATCTCCTTTTCTGGCTCTCTGGTGGCTGTTTCTCCTCCTCCTTTTCTCCTATCTGTCTCTTTTCTTTGATGTTTTGCGACACTTCCTACTATCTGGCAGCTCTTCGCCTCTGCACACCTTCTGCCAGCATTGTCCTCTCTCTACTGTGTAGGCAGAAGGGGGGTGGAAGAGGTTCCCAGAAGAGCAAGAACAGATGAAATTAACTGATGATTTCTCATTTCAGGAAAGACTTAAAGTTTATCAGTGACGTTGAGAAGGAAATGGAAACACTTGTGGAGGCCGTGAATAAGGTTGAAGTAAACATGTCCAATAGGCATTTCTGAGACCAGCTTGATTAAAAAAACAAAACTAATACGTTTCAGAAGTAGTGGTAGCCTAGAGGGTTGTAGGAAATGTTTGTAGGAAAAGTTTGCAGATTCCCAATGCCCAGACATGGAAACTTAGGTTGTTTCTTTCATTATAGATAACCTTTATCTGGACATGGTGGCACATGCCTGTAATCCCAGCACTCAGGAGGCAGAGGCAGGTGGATCTCTGAGTTCAGTACCAGCCTGGTCTACAGGCAAGGCTACACAGAGAAACCACCATGTATGTGTTGTGTGTGTTGGGGACGCTGTTCAACAGAAATAGTTGAATGACTTCAGTTGTCTGTGATAGGAGAGCACACTCTCTTCATTTTCTCAAAGTTGGGACAGAAGCCCTGTGGGGAGACTAAAGATGAAGATCAGGGCACAGGCTGAGGAGAATGGCTTCAGCCTGCCAGGAATAGCAAAGTGAGATCTGCGTAGGAAAGTAATTTAGTTAACTGGGTATGATGATGGATGCCATTTATCATTTATCCCACTACTTAGGAGACAGGCATAGGTGGATCTCTGTGAGTTGGGGGCCAGCCTGATCTACATAGCAAGTTGTAGGATAATCAGGGCTACACAGTAAGATCCTGTCTCAAAAAAAAAAAAAAGTGATTTGGTAAGCAGCAGCTAGTACTGCTCTGGCTTCCTCTTCAGTCCCTGGGTGTGAGGTCAGCTGTTTTAGGACTGTTTCTAATGATGGCTACCCTTCCCAGTGTTTGCTTCCCTCACCCGATTCCCACTTCCCTCCTTTTCCCTTCCTGTTTCTACTTCCAGTAGGACACTGACCTAAAGGAGAAGCTTAGTTGTTCCTTTTCTGCATAGGAAACCTGAGCAAATGTATTTCTATGTTTGTTGCTTGAGTAGAACTAACTGCTACAGGAAGTGAGGGTTTCTTGTTTTTGAAGTCTTCAGTGTATCTAGGTGTTTCTTGAGACTATCACTCCCAAGTTATGGACTCCCAGGAAGAACCACTAACCCCACCACATACTCCTAGTCTCTAGCCTTGTCTGTCTGCCCATCTGCTTTCCCATTGTAAATTAAGAAGCGCGTGAGATCCCACGCTCACACAGAATGTTAGGATTTTCAACCTCTGAGAATTGAGTTGCAGGCTGAGTCAATGATTCCATGGTAAAGGTGCTCACACAAGCCTGATAACCTGAGTTTGAGTCCAGGGGCCCACAGTAAAAGGACAGAACCAACTCCCAAAGTAATCATCTGGCCTACATGGTAATAATAATAAAGACTGAAGCAGGAAACAATAAAGCTAAACTCAGCCACTCTTCTAGTTGTGTTCTTGGGGTAAGAATAAGTCATGAGCACTGTTTCCAGGGGCTGGTGCTCAGCAGTCTTCTTTCCTTCCAACAGGGAAAGAATCCTAAGAAAAGCTACAGCTTCCCTCCCATGAACAGGGACCACCGCCGCATCATTCATGACCTGGCCCAGGTTTATGGCCTGGAGAGTGTGAGCTATGACAGTGAACCAAAGAGAAATGTTGTGGTCACTGCCATCAGGTAGGTTGACCTTGCCATCATGGGTAGAGCTCTTCAGCAGGACAGGCATATCCCATTTCTCTGAAACAATCTTTTCACCATTACCCAAAGATCCAAACCAGAGAGCAAAGCCCTCAGGACAGATAAACCCAAGTATACCCAGGTCTCACAGCTGCCCTCATCCATTTTACATGTTGGAGGTGGCATTTCTGCAGGTGGAGGGACTCTGAGCAGAATGCCTGCTTATCACTTCTGTAATCCTATCACTCTGTCTCCTGTTTCTCCCTCCGACCTTCCTGGCTCTAACCTCAGCGTGACAGAAAGAATGCTGTACTCTGACTCAGTGTTGCCATCAGAGGAAATGGACATGGCAGTGTGAGATAGGAAGGGGGCAGAAAGGACCATCTGTACCTGAGGGTGTCAAGAGAATGTCACAGTGAAGAGCAATGAAGCATGGCATGGGAGGCTGTGGGCAAGTGGGTCTGGCCAGGATGAGTGTAAAGGGCAAGTTGAAACCCAGTTGACCACACTTGAGTTAGGGTGTGCTGACAGCATGCTGCCCGGTCAAAGGCCGGGTTTCTGGATCTGCGGCTTCTGCTTGCCATTCACATTCTCAGAGTTGCACTTCACTCCTCAGAGGGAAGTCCATTTGTCCTCCTACCACGCTGACCAGTGTGCTCAACAGGGAAATGCAGACACGGCCTCCACCACCAATTCCTCATCACCGACACCAGACAGACAAGTAAGAACTAGCTGCTTTCCAAGCAGAACTTGTGTGGGCAGAGGTCACAGGCACAGCCTCCACCAAGAGTGTCTTCTCTTTACTACTGAAACCAGGTCAGCAGAGTCTGTGCATCCCAACAGGCAGTGATACTGATTTTTCTTTCTCAAGACAGATTTTTCTGTATAGCCTTGGCTATCCTGAACTCACTTTATAGACCAGGCTGGCCTCTAACTCACAGAAATCCACCTGCCTCAGCCTCCAGAGTGCTGGGATCAGAGGCATGCGCTACCACTGCCCAGCTATACAAAACTTTCTTATGGAATTTTTTTTTAGAGTAGAAGAAAATATTAATGTAATGAACACCTGTAGGCTGTTAGCAGATCTTGGCACGTGCTGGTACATGGGTTCCCGCTGTCCCAGAGATGCACCCTTAACTTTGTAAAGACCTAGGCTTATTTCCCCTGGAGAAGAAAGGCCTAATTATTCTTCAATTGCTTTGCAGGACTCCGGGGAGCAGTAATTTACAGAAGATATCGAAGGAGCCAGTGATCGACTACTTTGATGTCCAGGACTGAGACGATAGATACCCTGAGATAAAAGAATGATTCTATGTAGTGGAGACCCATTTGCCAGCAGATAGATCATGCCCATTGCTCTTGTGTGGCAGAGCCCCAGCACACATGCTGTCCTGTGCTGATACATCCATAGCATGAGTGTGTCAGAACCCCCTTCTTGGCTCCTAGCCCAAGTATCTCGCCATGGCCAGATTTCTGGCTATGTGGCCACAGGATTCCTAGTCATATGTTTGAAGAGGCTCCTCATACCACCGTGGAGAGGCTAGGGAGTATAGTATTTATTTGGATAAACCAGAATTTTTATTCCGAACTGGCTTGTGGCACCTAGCTGTAGTCTTAGTTATCCCAGTTGTTCTCCTGGTGTACCTCAGTTTCCTCATGTAGGAAGACACATGAACTACTGACCATTGGGAAACCACGTTGGTAATCATACGTCTTAAACATAGCCATCTTACCTAGACTTGGCTGAAAGCTCCCATGTCTCTCTAGACTGGTGAGGTTTTATAGAATTCCATTTTCTCAAGTCCCTGGCATTTTACCGCATTACCATGTCTACAGGGACAGTTCAACTGTCTCCCATAATGGTGAGAACTTGGAGCAACTTCTTCTACCATATTCACACTGTGAGTCTATGAACTGTCCACTTCTAAGTCCCTTCTGGTTGATAAAGACTGTCACATCACATAGACAGCTGTTCTGTGTTTTTTTCCTAGGCCATCAGCGGCCACACTGACTCTCCCTACACCTGAGCTCTGAATTGTGTGGACAGTGCAGAGCTTATGCCAAGCAGCTTACTGTCTGGATTCTTCAGCTTCCTTCCTTCAAGGCAGCTGTGTGGCCATCCGTATTGGCCCCTCTTCATTACAAGCTAGACTTCTTTTTTGTTACTGTTATTTGGCTTTTTCAAGGCAAGGTTTCTCTATGTAGCCCTGGCTGTCCCAGAACTCACTCTGTAGAACAGTCTAGCCCTGAACTTAGAGATCCGCCTGCCTCTGCGGAGGCAGGGGAAGTGGTGGGGAAGTAAAGGTGTTTGCCACCACTGTCTGGCTTCTTTTTGCTTTAAAATAAATTTTGAACCCCCAGAAACTTGGATCATAAAACAAGGTACTTAATTTTCACCTCTTTTATTTTATTTTTATTTTATTATTTTATTTTATATTTTATTTGAGACAGGATTTCACTAAATTGCTTAAGCCCGTTCAGATCTTAAACTCTCAGCCTCCTGAGTGCTAGGAGCACAGGCCTCTATCCCAAACCCATTGGAGACACTCGATTTTATAGGAAAAGCTAGGCTGCTCTTTGGTCCTAACCACAGTCTGTGTGGAAATCATGAGGATGTAGTGGCTGAGGTGACAGGATAGAAGTGATAGAAACAACAAAACCTCTCTGGGCCTGTTCAGTACAGGGTCTGAGCCAACAACCAACAGGAAGTCTGTGTGCAGCTGTCGTCCAGTCTAAGTGAGTGCTCTGGCTGTGTGTGCCCCTCAGGAAATCGAGAGGCAAATCTGACTTCATATTCTAGCCCTGCCACTTGACAGGGTAGGGGCTCTCCCTGCCTGGCCTGAGATGTGAGGGTTAAAGGAACCACAGATGACACACAGGTCTGGGAAGTGTATGTCTACAACACTAACCAAGTAAAGAATGTGATGCTGGTTGGGCCTCTCCTGATAAACAGATGGCTTTGTCCCAATCTCATGGTGGGACTGGTAAAACACATGTGCTTGAGGAAGGATTAATTGTCCAAAGTAGGCAGAAAATGGTGATGAGGCTTGAGGCTAACAGCAATGTGCTGAGTCATGGGCAAACCTAAGCAGGGTAGCAAGGCTGCATTTATGATCTGTATCAGCAGTCCACAGATGTTTTCCAGAAGATGCCAGAGTAAATACTTTTTTAAATATAAAGTTTATTATCAAAAGAAACTTGCAAATAAAAATATAATACCAAAATTTTCCAGATCCAAAGCCTGTCGAACTCATTGAACTTTTGTACAGTTGGAATAGGCGTTTGGAACAGAAACTTTGGGGCTTCACACTAAACTACACTTGATGGGTGTGGTGGCACATACCTGTAATTTCAGCACTCAGAGGGGCAGATGAAGGCAGATCTTTGTGAGTTGGAGGCCAGCCTGGTCTACAAAGCAAGTCCAGGACAGCCAGGGCTATATAGAGAAACCCTGTCTTGAAATATTTAAAAAAAAAAAAAAAAAAAAACCCACTTTACACTCTCAAACTGAATATTCTTAAGCTTTACCCACCACCAAAACCAAACAAATCCATGACAGAATTAGAACTAGGGAAACAATTAGCATTTTCTGTCCTCTTTCAGCTTCTGTCTATTACCTGCATTCAGTCCAAAGTAAATTGTTTACTCTCTCTGAGACTTTGAGTTTCTGTTGTAACTAACCAACTCCACCATATGTGGGCTGGAGAGATGGCTCAGTGAATAAGACCACTGTTCTTCCTAGAGGACCCAGGTTCAATTCCCAGCACCCACATAGCTGCTCACAACTCTTATTCCAGGGCATCTGACATCCTCACACAGGCAAAACACCAATGCACATAAAAAATAAAAATAAATTGTATTTTTAAAAAAATATTCTGACTTAGCAAGCAATTTTAAAATTAAAAAAAAATCTGGATTTGGTCATAGAAGGTATCGGAAGCAACTTTGAGGCAAGAAGGCTGCCCCAGAGGCTGCAGAGGTGACAGGGAAGCCAGATAGTAAGCCAAGGACCAGCAGGAAGTTTGCTTCTCTCTTGTCCCCAAGGAGACCCCAGGCCCCAGCAAAGGCAAACTTTTTCTCATGGGTCTGGTACATTCTTCACGAAGCAGTGATGGACAGTTGTGCATTAAGGCAAACTCAACAGTGAGCACCACCTCTGTCTCATTCGTGGAGAGAGCCATGGGTTCCGAATATCTGTTCTCTGGCTCCCAGGGCCATGCTCTCAGCAAGAGTTCTTCCTGGGCCAGAGCTTCCCAGAGACTAAATTCTTGGTAATTCTACCCTGCCCAGCATAGCTGGCTCTTTTCAACCTTAGGGCCATCCAAGTGGGCAATGGGATATATGTGTATAACTAAAGATGAAAAGCCTTCCTGGTTGCAGGTCTGTGGAGACAGGTCTGGTTCCTGTCCAACCTTGCCAGAGGAGGAAGGCTTAGGGAAGGGGCTATCCTGTAGATTTAAGTTTGAAGAATTCCTGTGCTACCAGACTTCCAGTTTCCTGTCCGAAATGAAAACTGAACATGTACTTCCTCTTCTACAAGGTGCTAGCAGCCAGGCCAGCACCTCAGCCTTCACTGACCTACCGTCTGTCACCCACACCCAAGAGAACGTACAACCTCAGCATAAATCTTCTATAATGTTTCTCAGACTGGAGAGATGGCTCAGAGCTTAAGAGCACTGTCTCCTCTTCCAGAGGTCCTGAGTTCAAGTCCCAGCAACTACATGGTAGCTCACAACCAGATCTGGTGCCTTCTTCTGGCATGTTTATGTACATGTCAGACAAAACATTGTACACTTAATAAATAAATAAATCTTAAAAAAAAAAAAAAAAAGACATGGTTTCTCTCTGTAGCCTTGGCTCTCCTGGACTCTGTAGACCAGGCTGGCCTTGAACTCACAGAAATCCACCTACCTCTGTTTCCCAAGTGCTGGGATTACAGATGTGTGCCACAGCACCAGGCCTCCCATGACATTTTAGACCCAAAGATCCCCAAGGAATTCTGCCAGCCACTCCAGCCCTCAGTTGACAAAGGCCAAACCTGGAGGAAACAGACTCTTTGGGATCACAGTGTGTGCCACAGCAGGGCTGTTGTACAGGCCAGAAGGAGGCTAAGTCTTCAAGAAATGAGCTGTGACCCTCACAGCTTCCTCACTAGAACTGGATTGGAAGTAGCTCTTCCCCACGGTCCAGGAAGTTCTTGGCCCCGGCTCCATGAGAGTGCTCTTCCAGTGCACAGACGCAGGAAACGTGGATGCAGAGAGCCCAGCTGGACAAGCAAGATGACCGTTGGCTTGCTCTGACGCAGGCACTTGACTTACAGTGGGCCTCAGGTTCTGCATCCATTGGGTGGAATCATGTTTCCTTCCCATGCTCAGAGGAGATTCTGCATCCGTCCAGTGGGACAATCATTCTTGCCGGTGTGCTGCACCAAGCCACCATGAGGGGAGTCATAGGATCAGGGAGGCAGAGACTCTGCATGCCACAGGCATCAGAACAGCTAAGTCTTTAGCCCAGACCTGGACAGAGTCAGTAGGTAATGTGGGGGTGGGGAGGAATAGAGCAATGGTCAAAGTGGCCCTGGCAAGGGCAAGAGCTTTTAGTGACCCCATTTCCCTCTCCTCCTATGCCAACACGTGTGAGGGAGTCCAGAGTCCATCTCCATGCTTTCCCAGGAACCTTTTATAACAGTGGATAGCAGTTACCAAGAAACACCTGATTAGCATCAAGTACCGCCACGTTTCTCTTTCATGCCTCAAAGCCCCAGGAAGTACATTAGGTCACTTTCCCAAGATCACTCATGAACAACAGGGAATCTGGGATTCTCACTAAGTATCCTGTGTCCTCTGCACAAAACAGAGGCAGCTCTGGAGTCTCTGGGGGCAGGGTAGCCCAACAGGCCCAGTCAAGAGGGCAGGAAGATGTACCAAGATAGAACCAGCAGACTCTGAGAAGATGGGACTGTTTCTAGAGTGGCCACTAGAGGGCAGGATAGAACCCTAAACCAGAGGGTGGGGTGTACTTATCAGGCATCAGGAAAGTGTCTCTGTGTAGCCCTGGCTGGCCTTGAACTCAGAGATCCACCTGCATCTGCCTCCCCTGTGCTGGGATTAAAGGCTTGCACCACCACCGCTCAGCAGTTCAAACTTTTAAGTAAAAGGTACAAGCCATGTTGTTTTGGGTCACATTTTCTCTTCTTTTTTGATATTTTCCTCTCTATTGTTGGTGTACAGACTAGAGACACAAGGAGAAAACACAAGCCATGAAGTTAGCCAAAGGAAAACTATTCCATGGAGTTGGAAGAGATGAAAGCGGCTACAAGGGCTTTGCTATGAAACCATTCCATGAACTGTGGAGAAACAACAAGACCAAAGGGCCACAGGGGAGCCAGCAACAGGGAAGAGTGGGTATCTAAAAAGTGGCAGAGGGATTTGGTGGTATCAGGCCTCAGGCCTTGCTGGCCAGTGGGAAACTTAGGACAGAATAATGTGTGAGCTCTAGCTCACTTTTTACAAAGGACCCACGGCCAGAGCAGTGGCTCAGCAGTGAACAGCTCCCACTGCCCTTCCAGGCAATCCACATTTAGTTTCCAGCACCAAGTCAGGCTGCTCACAACCTCCTCCAGTGCACACCACCCACATACAAAAAAGGTAAAAGTAAAAAAGAAAGCAAATAAGGGATCCAGCCCCACTCTTAAGACTGAACTGGAAGAAGGCATCTTCAAGCAAAAGGGCTGTCACCCACTGCTGTCATCCAGCAGTGACAGGGTGGGGTGGTGAGAAGGGGCTGGGTTCTGGATACATTTTTCGGATAATACTTAAGGAGTCTGTTGACAGCTGGGATGTGGGATGTGAGAGAAGAGTCAGGGATGATGATTTAAAAGTTTTTTTGGCCAGAGCAGTTGAAACATTAAATTTGCCATTTACTAGGGTAAGTGTGGGAGGAGCAGGCACTGGAAGTGACAATCTGTCCAGTAGGTGGCTACCCTTTGAAGTCTGAAGTCTGGAGAAAGGACTGGGCCAAGAAGCTAATTTAGGGAGCTGTGGTACATAATGGTATTTAAAGGATGGCGAGGTCATTGTGTCCAAAAAGTGGATGAAAAAGAAGAGGTACTGGGACAAGCCCAGAGCACTCCACCCATTGTTGAGGGGAAGGACAGTGAGAGGACCAGAGCAGTAGTGCCTTCAGCCACTCCCGGCCTTGCCTCCTCCTCCACCTTTGGCTCAAGCCCTTGAGCATTCACTCCAACGGTTCCCTTGAGCTGAAGCCCCATGTCTCTGATGAACAGGACTCTTCTTGCAGACTCTACCCAGCCTTTCTCTATCACCAGGAAGTGCTAGTAGCAGAGTTAAAACTGAAAACTCCTCTGCCTGAGACTCATCTTTGTTTAAGCAAACTGAAGCCCACAGAGTGTCAACAGCCTGCTGAGATTTCAGAAGTTGAATGTTGACCTTTTTAATATAAGGAGGGAATCTGTTGTTTTATATTGAAACCATGTGTTTCTATGTTGCCCTGCTGCCTTTAAACATCTGGGCTTCAGCAATCCTCCTGATCTAGTCTCTTGAGTAGCTGGGACTACAGGCCTCATGCAGCTATGCCCAGCTGCTTTATTTTGTTTTGTGTGTGAGTGCATGGGAGGTGTGTGTGTTTGTGTGTGTGTGTTTTATACTCTCATTTAATTGTTCCTGTATGTTATTTACAGAATATATTTGACAATTTAAAACCCAAAGCTAGCAGAGGTCATACCTTGAATGCGAAGACACATGGGCCTCAGTTTCCTCGAACATAAGAAGACTGGATGAGAGATTGCAGAGTAAATGTAACAAGCATAAAGACCCATGAGCCAGGCATAAGCCCTTCAGAGCAGCGTCAGTCTGAGTTGGGAGCTCTTACCTCAGGTCACACATCTAGTAAGTTGTTAGAGCAGGGACTCAGATCCAGGCTGGTGGCTTCACTTTGCTTTTAAATGTCCCTGTCTGTTCCTTATATATATATGATGGTTGGAATCTCTCTAAGATCCACTGCTTCCACTATAAGGTCAGTGCAGGGCTGGGTTTGGAATAAAAGGGCACAGTCTCCTCAAATAAAAGGCATCAGCATGAGACCTGGGCTGAAGTGGCTGTTCCTATCTCTTCCCAGGCTGCAAGGCTCAATCTGAAGGTCAGTAAGACCAGCAGCTGGTGTCCCTAGTAAGACCTGGTGAATGGGAAGGCAGGCCAAACATGGAGTAAGGGACTACCAGGCTGAGACCCAAACCTTTACTTCAGTGTCCTAGAAGGGCCTGGCATGGTACTCAGTGATCCCACCTCACTCCTAGCCTCCCCCCAACAGCAGACTCAACTGCAGAGGGGGCAGTATGGAAAGAGGGCTCACAGTGTGGGTCTTCCCAGCACTGGAAAAGTCACCTAGGAGGTAATTAAACACCAACAGATCCAAGCCTCATTGTCTAGATGGGAAAACAAGGTCCAGAGTCTGGAGGGGACACAACCAGTGTGTGCTGGGACAGGAAGAACATGAGAGGAATGTGTTATGAACAAAGCCAAAAGCCCAAGGCCCCACAGCTGCCGTGACGCCCACCCCACCCATCCTGGCTGCACTTCCTTCCTGCGCTGAGACCCATCGTTCTCTTTTACAGAGTTCTTACCTCTGCCTCAACCCATGTCTTCACATATTCTGTGTGCCTGGCCTCAGTCTCTCAGGTCTAAGTCTTCTGACCTCATCTCCTTCCCACCCTTCATCACCTTTGCACTCCAGTGCAGTGGCTCCTCCAGCTTCCCACCTTGTGGACTATGCTCCACTCTCGGCCTGGCATGCCCTTCCCCTGAGATCCACACAGCTCACCCCACATCCCTGCAGCTCTCTCCACACGTTCCCACTCCCTTCTCCTTCTGGGCCTCATCACTCACTCACCACGGATTGTGCATGAATAAAAACTCTGGGGGCCAGGTTCTTCCCTGTGTCTCCAGCCTTGAAGCTGGAGGGTGTTGGCCACGGTGTAGGCTTTCAACACAGTCTCCTGAGCATGGAAAGACCTGATCTGTGATTGGGATCAAGGCTCTTGTGACTGGACACTGAGACCAGAGACTGCAAGGTGTGACAGGATCCAGCCATGGTACCATAGGCCTGGGATTCCAGCAGGAGGATTATCAGTTAGAGGCCAGCTTGAGCTACATAAAAAGATCAAGCCTCAGAATAACAAAAAGCTTATTTCCAGTGTGATGGTTTAGAGGTAAGGACACCTGCAAGGAGTGGGTGGGAGGGGAGGGTCAGGCCCTCAGCGTGGAGCCTGGACATACCTCTCATATGTTCCTCTGAAGTGCCAATAATGAACTCATGAGCTCATGAATTCATGGGTTCATGAAAGCCCCTGGGGCTGAGACAGAAGGAGCTTGTCTAGGGTCAAAAGAAGAGGCAGATTTGTAGTTGTCGAAATGTTACTGGTCACCTCCAGCTCCGGGTCACTTGGCTTTCATCCTCCTATCATGGGACACCAGATACATTGAAACCTCCTCTTCCTCTCCTAGATTCTGTGTGATCTCCATACCTGTCAGCCTTTCTCCACTCCCATGCTGTGATTATTTCCTCCTTGGAGTTTTCTGTTTATGTATTTATTTATTTATTTATTTTTGAGATACTGAAGATTGAACCTAGACCCTGAGGCTCAGCAAGCACTGTACCACCTGACCACACCCCCAATCTCTTTCATGTGGAGGTCAGAGAACAACTTTTGGGAGTCATTTCCTCTCCTCCATCATGTGGGACCAAGTGATCAAACCCAAGTAATCAGGTTTGGCCAAAAGTACCCACAGGATCTCACTAAGTTGCCCAGGCTGGACTTGAACTTTCAATATGATGAGTGTGATTACTGTGCTGAGTTCAGGCTCTTTTTTTTAAATACATGACATAGTCATATGGGATTATATCACAATGTTATCAGACAAAATTGTATAACAAATTCATAAACTTAACCCTATAACTAGAGACTCATTAAACTCTCACATGAACTTTGTGCTCTGAACATCTCCCTAGAAAAGTCTCTCCTTTTAAAATAGTGTGAATGTCCTAAGAACATATTGCTTATTTTCTTTTTTTTTAAAGATTTATTATGTGTACAGTATTTTGTCTGTATGTACATCTGCACACCAGAAGAGGACATCAGCTCTTATATATGGTTCTGAGCCACCATGTGGTTGCTGGGAATTGAACTCAGGACCTCTGGAAGAGCAGCTGATGCTCTTAACCTCTGAGCCATCTCTCCAGCCCCTATATTCCTTATTTTCAACTGCACTGTCTGGCTCTATGTCTTGTTGTTTGTTTCAAGACAGAGCCTCACTCTATAGCCCAGGCTAATCTGGGAACTCACTGTGTAAGCCTCAAGATCATGGCTTCTGCCTAAGTCCCAAGTGCGAGAGTATAGGCCCAGGGCTCCACACTTGTTCCTAACATGCACAGGAGTACGCAAATGCATGCACACATGCACACACCACACATTATAGTCCTCAGATGCAAAGGTCCAGCCTCTTTTATCACACATTCCAGGGCCTGCACACCGTAAGGCTCAGCAAGTGTGGAAAGTAATAAGGAGACAGAGGGGATGCTGCCTTCTGAACCCTGCCTGACCCCAGCAGCAACTGGTCCTCTGAGCCTTCCCTCTCGTGCATGAGGCTTTTTCATGTCTCAACCCATTTTAGGGATTTCTCGTCTTGCTTCCTCCCTCCCAACTCTGGAGTCAATTCCTCCTATTGACAAAAGGAGGAAATTAGAGGCGAACCCATTAATGGCTTTCACTCCATACAAGCAATCCTAAGGAAATAAAAACTGATTCTAGTAATGGATTTTAAAACTTTTCAGCCAGAACCCGGGTGCAGTGGCACACAGCTGTAATCTCAGCACTCAGGGAGGCAGAGGCAGGAGGATCAAGGCCAGCCTGGTCTACAAAGTGAGTCCAGGACAGCCAAGGCTACACAGAGAAACCTTCTCTCAAAAAAACCAAAAAATACAAAATAAAAAATAAATTCAGCCAGGCATGGTGGTGCAGGCCTTTAATCCCAGCACTCAAACGGCAGAGGCAGGTCTATCTATATGAGTTTTACGCTAGCCTGATCTACATAGCAGAGTAGCTAAAGTGAAAGCCTGTTGAAGGAGGAGAAGAAAAAAATACACACATGCTCACACACATATCACAGACGAAACACATAAACAGACAAAGTACACATGTGATATTAAAATCTTTAATTAAAAAACTTGGGGGGCTGGAGCCCAATTGGGGCTCAGTGGTTAAGAGCACTGTCTGCTCTTCCAGAGGTCCTGAGTTCAAGTCCCAGCAACCACAAGGTGGCTCATAACCACCTATAATGGGATCTGATGCTCTCTTCTGTCATGCAAGCATACGTGCAAGTAGAGTGCTCATAAACCTTTAAAAGAAAAAATTGGGCCCAGTGCTGGTGGCACAGGCCTTTAATCCTAGCATGCAGGAGGCAAAGGCAGGTAGGTCTCTGTAGCCTGGACTACAGAGTGAGTCCAGGACAGCCAAGGCTATAAAGAAAAATCCTGTCTCGGAAATCAAAATACAAACAAATGAACAAAAACAATGGAGCTGAGGAGCCGGGGATTTAAGTCCATTCATAGATATTACCTATGCACGAGGCCTTGGGTTTGATCACCGGCACCACATATAAACTGGGAACGGTAGTGCACACTTGTAATCCCAAAACGCAGGTGGTAGAAAACAGAGGATTAAGAATTCATGGAGTTCAATTCAAGGCCATCCTGGGCTATATAATACCCTGTCTTCAAAGAAAAGGGGAATGAACCTGAAAGGCCACTGAGGAAGGCGTTAAAAAAAAGGTTGAGAAATTCTGATGTGAACTCTTGGCCTTGCCTTCTTTCTGGCTTAAAACTGGAGGACAGGAAGAGCCAAGAGACACTGTGTTCCCATCCCAGGGCACCCCTAAGGATTCCCGGAAGTCCACTAGTCTGGCTGGTACCTTTTATATCACCCTGAGGCCCCAAGATAGGCATTCTCCCACCTCCTGGAGCTGAAAAGAAGATGGGGTCTTCTGGCTCTATGTTTCTGTATTAGAAAAGAATAACTGGGACTATGCCAGAAAGGGTGGTAAATGCCTGAATCCCCAACACTTGGAAGACAGAGGCAGGATGATCACCACAAGGTTGAGGCCAGCCTGTTCTCATAATTTCCAGGCCAGAATAACTCAGGAGGAGTCCAGCTGCAGGAGGCCTCAGGGGAGAGAGCCACTGGGCATGAGGTGTGCTTTATTGTGGTAGAGTTGTGGTCACAGATAAGCTCCACTTAGAAGCGCTCTAGAGGCAAAGAGCCACTTAGGGGTGGGCCAGGCTGGACAAAAGCTGGGGTAGAAGAGACAGGGTTGAGGGGATCTTTGGGGGACACGGTTATCTTCCCATCTCCTGCTGCAGAATTCTCCAGTCTCTGAGGATCCTGCGGTATACTGGAGTGAATTAAGCCCACGTACACAATGCCACCTATGTAGGCTCCCAGGATGGGTGCCACCACAGGCACCCACCACCAGTTGTCCCCGACACTGCAGACAAAGAGAGGGAGGCCTGCTGAGAACAAGTGGCCAGGATGCCACTTGTGTCCAGCACAGACTAACACAGGGTGAGCAAACCCATCTACCCTAAGGGACTCTCACCCTGGGTTAGGGACAGAGCTGACAGTCCAACAGCTGGATCTGCATGTGAAGATCTTTAGGCCCCTCCTGTTCCCAGACCATGTGGGACGGAAACTCTCCTGTGTGCCCTTAACAGCTCACACCTCTGCATGCAGGAACCCCAGAAAGCAGACAGGAGTGGACCTGGCAGGGGCAGTACCTGAACACTGGGATGCCCCAGCCAGCAATGAAAGTGAAGAAGCGGGGAGGCAGGTCACGGGACGGGTTGATTGCATATCCCGAGTTCATGCCTAGGGATATTCCAATAACGCAAACAAGGATGCCTATCACCAGGGCCTCCGTCCCTTGGAGGGCTGGACTGTTGTTCTTGTCTGTGATAGCGAAGATACACAGCTGGAGCAACCCAGTCAAGAATACCTGAAGAGTAAATGCCATGGCAACCCACTGGGGACACGGCAGCAGCAGAGCCGTGTCCTGAGACAGTCCCACCCAGAAGCCTTCTGTCTGTTCCATCATGTAGAACCCGAAGTGGGGACAACCATGCTCACTGACCTCATCCAGGAAGCCTCGCCACAGGGTCATGTGCTCAGGAAGATAGGTGGCAAAAATGTTTGCAGTGGCCCTGGGGCCCGTCACCAACAGCACTCCATGAGCAAAGTGGTCAATGGCACCTGTGGAGGCAAAGACTGAGCTATAATTCTCACCACAGTCCCAGAAAGGAGGTTAGAATACATCAACAGCTTAGACTCTGATAAGGTTTTTTTTTTGGTTTGGTTTGGTTTGGTTTGGTTTTGGTTTGGTTTCTGTTTGTTTGTTTCTTCCAGAACAGGATACCAAAATGGAATCCAGCCATATTTCAGAAAAGAGCCTGGAGGCCAACAACCCAGGAAGAAGGCTCACCATAGAAAAGTAAATAGGTGGTAGCTGCCGCTGAGAAGGAGCCCAGGAACTGACCCAGCACGTAGACGGGGAACTTCTTCCAGGGCATCCGGCCTAGCGCACAGTTGGTGAAGGTCACAGCTGCGTTCATGTGAGCCCCTGTTGTGAGAATGGATTAAAGACACAAGCAACAAAATAACAATGTTGACAGCAACAGCAACAACAGGAATTTATGGAGTGTGTTCCCTGTGATAAGAACTCTCTTGTTTTTGACCCTTCAAAAGACCACACATGGCAGGGACCACTATCTCCATTTTTACCATAAGGCAAGTGAGGGAAGAGAAGGTTCACCCTTCACTTAAGATAAGCCAGCTAGTAAAAAATAGTCAAAGGGTCCATGAAGAGTCTGGGGAAGACATGGGCAGAAGCCAAGTCCCCACAGAGGCTCTCCTCCCTATGGGTCACCTAAAGGTACAGCTCCAGCTTGGACAGAAAAGGGGCTTGCTGAAGGAGGCAGAGACAGCACACCCAGAAGATTCAGCCTTACTCACCGGAGATGCCTCCTGCTACATGCACTCCCATGGTGACTCCGAAGCCAAAACCCAAATTGACACCAAGATAGCTGCCAAGCTTTTGGTCTCCTAGAACCATGTGAGCCACGGAACCAAGGCCAAACACCTGTGAGGGAGAACTTCTGATGGAGCAGCCTGCCCAGCATCCCCCATCAGAAGGATGCTCAAAACTCAGTTTCCCTTCCTTGCCACCCCAACCCCATGCCCTCATTCCTGGACTGAGAGTCTTCTCTTATAAAACTGTCCTCCTTGGCCCCTAGTGAGACCTCTCAGACCTAAGTCAGTGAGATCTGGGTGATGGGTATTAAGAGGTCTAAGTATGGGATCTCATAGCCAGAGGCTGCATCTATGACTTTTGGGCATGGGACAGATGGTGTGAACCCCACCCCAGCATCCCACACTGCAGGCTCGCCTAAGGATGTTCTAACAGGCCATGTGAAAGAACTATTGCTCTCCACATTGGACAGATGGACTACCTGAAGCTTAGAGAAACCGAATGAAATATTCAAGGTCACATGACCTGAGACATGAGGAGCCAAGCATGAATCTAGGAAGCCATTGTGCCAATCCTTGCTGCCATGCACGTCATTGTATTCTTAGAAATGCTGACCCAGCCAGGTATGGTGGTGCACACCTTTGATCCCAGCTCTGAAGAGGCAGAGGCAGGTGGATCTCTGAGTTTGAGGCCAGCCTGGTCAGGACAGCCAGGGCTGTTCCAGAGAAAAACCCTGTCTGGGGTTGGGGAGCAGGGGAGAAGCGATGCTAACCCCTCTGTGCCTGGAATACCTGATCCTACATTATAAAACATTTAAGAAACCTGAGAGATGGCTCAGCAGGAAAAGGTGTTCACTACCAAGCCAGATGTCCTGAGTTTGATCCTAGAACCTACATAATAGGAGAAAACCAACTCCAAAAAGACATCTTCTGACTTCCATAGGTGTGATGTGACACACATGTGCCCACACCCATTTGCACATGTATGCACACACAAACACACTAAATAAATAATGCACAATACATCTTTTAAAAGAAAAACAGTTAACACTCAGGCGGTACTTCTTGTGAACTGTTCTTGTGTTCTGTACATGTATTGTGAATAGATAACTAGCGGTCAGGCTGCTGGAAATCAGAGTCCAGATATATGTCCTTTAGCATGGCAGTCACTGACCACATGTGGCTGTTACATGCTTGAGGGTGGCTACTCCAATCTGAGATCTGCCGTAAGCATAAAGCATGCACTGAATCACAGACTTAGAATCACAAATGAGGACCACATCAGCAGTTCCCCACTGAAGTTGGGGATATGTGGGTTAAGTACAGTAGTGATTCAAAATCTTTCACCTGTTTCTTTTACCCTTTTAATGTGGCTACTACAGAATATTAAATTATATTTATAACTCATTACTTGCCTTGCACAGCTTTGTTTATGAGAGAGAGAGGAAAAAAAATAAAATGTGGATATGAGAGTTGCCACCAACCCAATCATGGATAAGGGCACCAGGAGAGGAAACAGACTGAACCTGAACAGGACTGATGGCCTGTAGAGAAATCTCTGCTAGAGCAAACAGAAATTATGCCACACGGGAAGAGATAGCACCCACGGAGGACACAGTCAGCTCTGCCCTGGCAGCCTGAGTCACATCTGTAAAGTCCTGAAGAGCATTTCTTCGGGTGTGACAGTCCTAGAGTCAATATACACTGAGTGTCTGTGGTCAGATCCTAGGGGCATGATAGGTCCCAGAAATTGAGAGGTAAATGGTGGTGGGGAGTGGATGAATTTTTGTTTCATTTTGCTTTTGTGATGCGAGGTCTCACCATATCGCCCAGAATAGCTTTCAGCTCCTAAGCTCAATATATCCTTCTGTCTCAGGCACAAATCACTGTGTCCAAGTAAAGATAATTTTGAGGGAAGATATTGTTGTATTCTTCCTGTTGTTTGAAATGGAACTCAGGCCTCCATTTCCACAAAGAAAGTGTTCTGCCACTGAGCCCCAGCCCAGCAGATAAGAAGGAATTAGAAAAAACTTGTGTAGACTAATGGCATGGTTGAGTCTGTTTTGTGTTGTTTTGGGTAGGGGGACTTTGGTATGCTCATAGGCCGAGAGACAGTAAAAGAGAAATGAAAAAGAGAGAGTGAAATGGACAAAGTGTCTCGGTAGGTGTGGTGGGGGTGACTGGTGAAGAGGTGAGGGCTTCTGGAAGGAGAAGGGCATCTCCTCTAGCTGAGGAGAGGTGGGTACATCCACCAGTAACAGATGGGAGAAGCAGGATGGTGAAGGAGCCCCCCTCCCATGATTTTCTCTGATGATCAGGAGATCAAGCAGTTTGGGGGGACACAGCTGGGAAAAATCAGGCCTATGATCTATGATGATGATGCAAACCTAGAATTTCAGCACTCTAGAGGCAAAAGATTCTACCCTAAATTCAAGGCCATTATGTTCTACAAAGTGTGTTCCAGGCCAACCAGGGACCAGGGCCGTGTGGTGTGTGTGTGTGTGTGTGTGTGTGTGTGTGTGTGTGTGTGTGTGTGTTTTCAAGACAGGGTTTCTCTGTGTAGCCCTGGCTGTCCTGGACCCACTTTGTAGACCAGGCTGGCCTCAAACTCACAGAGATCAGCCTGCCTTTGCCTCCCAAGTGCTGGGGTTACAGTCATGAGCCACTGTGCCTGTAGTAAGGTAGTGAGACTTTGTCTCTTAAAAGAGAGAGAGAGAGAGAGAGAGAGAGAGAGAGGGAGGGAGCTAAGGAGATGGCTCAGCAGTTAAAGTACATGCCATCCAAGTGTGAGGACCTGAGTTCAAATCCCATTTAAATTCTGAAGGGTGTTGGCCCAGCAGTAATCCCAACTTCAGAAGTCAAAAACAGGGACTATGCCCCAGAGTGATCTGTCTGGGAATACTAGCCACACTGTAGCAACCTCTGGGCTTGATTCAGAGACCCTGTCTCAGTGAGTAGGTTGGAAGGGGGATGGTTCTCAACGTTAATCTTCGACCTCCACATGCATGTACACAACCACATATGGAAAAAACAAATAAGCCAGACAGGCATGGTACCACATGCCTGTAATCCCAAATTTGAGGCTAGCCTGGGTTACATAGTGACATCCTGTCTAAAAAAAAAAAAAGACTGGAGAGATGGCTAGTGGTTATGAGCATACAGCCACCTGTGACCTCATCTTCAGGAGAATCTATAACAGGCTCTGGTCTCCATGAGCACCTGAGCTCACATGCACATACACACCAGTACAATACAAAAAAAAAAAAAAAAAAAAAAAAAAACAGAAGCAGTTGAGCATGGCTCACAGGCCCTGCAGGAGTCCAGGACAGGTGCAGGGGAGCCTAACTTGCAGTCCAAGAGAAAATGCAGCAGACTGGAACTGATGGTGTAGAAGAAGGCCAGGCCAGGCTGATAGGCTGGGAGATACAGGAAGTGGCAGGGCTGGACAAACACCAAGTGCAAAGCGGTTTTAACACAGACTTTGTGGTTTGTTCTTGAGAGAGACCTTCTCGTGGCAATCCTCCTGCCTCAGCTTCTGGGAGTATGTGCATGTGCCACCACGCCTGGCTTCAAAACCATGTGCTAATGCTGATGAATGAGAGACAGAGCATCACACGTTGGGATCTCACTGCCAGGCCTGCCAGCTGGCAGTGCATGCCCCTGCTCCATCCAGCACAGGGATTTGTTTGTGTAGCTGATTTTGGAAGTTTTCAGCTGTTCTTGAAAAATGTGACTATCTGGGAGTTCTGGCCTCTACTCCATTCTCCATGACGACTGACAGCTGGACCAGTAGCAGCTATACCCTTTGCGTCCTTCCCTCACCCCGTGGCATGGGTTTGCAGTCCTTTCTCTGTAGCTCTATGTATAGCCAGGTTTTTGGGGCCCAGATGGCTCCAGCCCCTCCTCTCCCTGATCAGAGTCCCAGCAACAGCCAGGAAGCCAGCTCTGAGAACAGCCTACTTCATCACAGCTGCAGTAAATAAGACCCAAGGTCACATCAGCCTTTTTTGTCAGAACCTTTACCCTGGTGATTCACTGAGCTTCCTATAACCAAAAAAGCCCCCACTTCTTGGCATGAGACTAGAAACTGAAAATAACAACAGCTTACCATCCTACAGGAGTGCACTGCTTCTCAACCATCACAGAAAATCAGTGGAGCAAACGCTTCTGCTCCCGCTCCACAGATGGGACCTAAAGTCCAGAAGGTATTCTTCAACCACGCAGAGACTGAAAGCAAGCACCTTACCCCAGCTGGAGGAAAGTGTTAAGAGCCAGTATCTTAGCAAGCCTGTCATCTCTAAGCTGAGGGGCAGAGCAAAGAGATGAAGGATCAAGACAGACATTGGCCTGGCATGGATTTGACTTAAGCTTGGACAGGTGATTTAGTCCCACAGAACCTCTTCAATTCTCCATCTGTCAAATGAGGGTGAGGGCAGGTGTGATGGACACACTGTTAATCACAGCACTCAGGAAGCAAGGGTAGATGGATCCCTGTGAGTTCCAGGCAGCTTGATCTACATAGTGAGTTCCAAGATAGCCAGGGCTATGTAGAGACACCCTGTCCAAAATAATAGTAGTAGCACCTACCTCACAGGCTATTGTAAGGATTTGGGAAGGTAGTGCTTAGCATCACATCCTAGTGCTCCATATGCAGTAGTTGCTCAATAATAATTGAAATAAAAGGAGAACGCCTAGTTTAAGATTAGACCAAGGTACATACCCTTAATCCCAGCACTCACGAGGCAGGGGCAGAAAGAGTTCAAAATTAAATTTGAGCTAGGCTACACAGAAGAAGCCCTGTTTTAAATAAGTAAATACAAAATGTAAAGAAAAGATAGCAAGCTGGTGAGACGACTTAGCAGGTAAAAGCACTTGTTGCCAAGCCTGTCAACTGGAGTTCAATATCCAGGTCCCACATAGTGGAAGGAGAGACCCCACTCCCAGGAGCTATCCTCTGGCCTTCCAACTCACATTGCAGCAAGCCTGTGCCTACATGGAACATGAAGACACATTCGTACCAGAGAAAGAAATCAATTACAAAAATTAGGAAGGACTAGGGGCGTAGCTCGTGAGACAGTGACAGAGCCCTAGTAGCATGTGCACAGGGCTCCCAGTTTGATTCCCAGTGCTGCCAAAAAAGAAAGCAGATATGGACATGGCTCAAGCTGTGTGGGCAATTACTGCTTCCCCTAGGAGATCTTCAGGGAGGCACCCTCCAGCCTCCTGCATTCCAAGGTTTAACAGCCCTCATGGGACTGCAATGTCTTGTCATAAATTAATTACTTTGCCCTGAGTTAAGGATGGACAAGATCAGGCTTTCCTTCCCACAGCTCAGGAGCCAAAGAAGCTAAAGACGGCAGGTAGGGATGCAGAGAAGAAAGAATAGCTAGAGACCTGCCAAAATAATAAGGGAGCCAGTGGCACACACACATGCACATCCACAAACACAGTTTTTTATTGTAAAATTAAAAATGAAATCTTAAAAAAAAAAGAACATAATAATAACAAGGAACCAACCATATATGTATGATAAATGCTGGGTGTTGGCACCTGATGTCCTCTTCAGATAAGTCTGCCAACTCTATGCTAGTGTTATATTTGCCAACAAAGAATCTAACTCTGTGAACTGTTAAAATGCCCAGGGAATATTATAGAGCTGAGCCAAATTCAGACCGGACTCCCAAACCCAGGAGCTGGAATTCCACAGCCTAGGAAGCTGGAAAATCAGGCTCGGAGCCAGGGAAAGAGCTGCTCTAGCCAGCCACTGATGGACAGGGAGAGCTGAGAGTCTGTGTGTGCAGAGTCCCTTCCACGTCATTGACTCTGAACAATTTTTACAACTTTCCTCCGTAGTGAACTTTAGCTCTTTCATTCCAGTCCAAGCCTCCCTTGAGTGTCAGCACCCTCTAGTTAACCACTTCCTGGATCTCTCTACTGACATCTCATCTGTATCCACATTAGCTTCCTTTCCGGGCCTGTACTGGGACTGTTTTCCAGAACGGCCCCTCAGAGCTTACCTTCTATCTGCAGTTTCAAAAGTCTCCTTGACGCATCTACAGTTCTCTAAGCATCTGCTGTCTCCTCTGTGCCTGGTTCCATCACCTCCCACTCTCCCACTGCCATAACAGCAGCCTGATCACGGGCTTCTCTGCACAACTGCCTTCTAAAATCCAAATAGGATGATAGCATTCTACTACTTTTTAAGAAACTGTGCATGTGTATGATAGGAGTGGGTTACAGTGCATGTGTGGAGGTTGGGGGATGACTTTATGGAGGCAGTACTTTCCTTCCATCTTTACCTTAGCTCCAGGGACTGAACCCAGGGCATCAGTCAGACTTCAGCACTAACCACCTTTACCTGCTGAGCCATCTTCCCCACCTTCCCCTGCCTGATAGCCTTCCCTCAGACCACCTCTCAAAGGCCTCCCCACCTCTGGTTATAAAATCCAAGACTGGTCTTGAATTTGCCATGTAGCAACAAGACAAAGGACTCAGACTCCAAAGGGCCCTACCTCAGCCTCTTAGTACTGGTGTGTGCTGCCATGCCCATCTCTTTCATCATTTTCTCCTTTTGTTTGATTGAATGATGTGTTGTGTTTTGTTTCCTTTTGTTTTGAGACAGTTTCTTACAGGGTAGCTGTGACTAGCCTAGAACTTGCTATGTACAGCAGGTTAGTCTCCTAAGTGCTGACAGTACAGATGTGCTCCACCATGCCCTGCTCCTCAATCTCTTCACTACTCTAGTTTTCCTTTCCCCCTCATCAACCAGCCCTGACTCCACTCTATCCTGGCCTATCATGAGCCCTGTCTGAAAAAGACTTAATGAGACTTTCCTCCTGTTTCTTTCCCAGGCTCCCAGCTCAAAGGCAGGGGAAGGAATGATATGACCCCTGGGGTCAACAGTGAGAATGGGCTAAAGCACTAACTTTGCTGGCCCCACACTCACCCAGGACCACCCACCCACTCACCATCATGATGTAGGTACTCATGAACTCCCCCAGGAAGTTCCGCACCATCTCTCTCTGTAGCACTGCTTGTATGGTCCTGAGCACAGGCCCAGAGGCCATCCTGGAGTTGTGGGTGGGCCTGAAGCACCCGACCAAGCCAAGGAACAAAAAGGAGATTCAAGTCAGCCTCCTGCCCATCGGCCCTGCAGCTCATAGATGAGTTAATGGGTAACCCAGTAGCCTCTCCCCATGTACCTTCTCCTGCCCAGGGCAATAGAGAAAGCTGGCATGAGAGACACCTGAGAGCCATAGGGACATGGAAGAGAAAGACTACCCAGCTAGGCCTCTTCTGAACAGGTAGGAGGATACACCAATGTGACCACCTTGCAAAGAGAGTAGACTGGGTGCTGAAAGTGCAGCCTGCTTTTGGGGTGGGAGTGGGCATGGGTGGGAGCAGACTGGGGAGATGGAATTCAGTTGAGTCTGTTTCTCTGCAAGAATCAAAGCTTGGGGCCACAGGCCAAGGCTTAGGAACAGTGGGGGTTACTCTGCACATGGGGTTCAGGAAAATCTGATGCCGGGCTCTACAAATAGCACAGAGCCTGGAAACAAACACTGGGTGCTTCTGAAGATGTGCGGAGGGCTTCAGAAGGTGGGGGAGGGGTGCAGTAAACACTCTGGGCTCTGTAGCCAGGCTAGCACAGAGATGCTTAGTAGTGAAGGAATGAACAAGTAATAAAGAGGCAGAAAGGAGGGAGAGTCTTGATTCCTTGTGCACTCTCAGGAACAGGCCCACAGATGATTAATATTGGCTGAATGGATGAGAACCAGACAATCTACTTCTTGTTCTTAACCAGATTGACATCAATACTTCCTAAAGAGCCTGACACTTGATAAATATTTGTTCAATAAAAGTTCTGTTGGATGGATGGATGGATGGATGGATGGATGGATGGATGGATGGATGAAGAAAAAATGAGTTTCAGGTACCAGGGTCTGTTAGTGGGGTACAGGGTTGGCTTCTGGGGAAGGTGCTGGGTCTGGAGGATGAAGCTGAACAGGGCAGACGTGGCTAGGTGGGCATTGGAGAGGTGGAGTAGTGAGACACTCAACAGTAAGAGGGGAAGAGTCTAGGTATTTTAGAGATGGAGACATCAAGGACATGGCTCCTTGACTCCTGGCTAGAGCTGAGGAAAAGGGCACTCCTGCCTGAGCTGAGACCACAGAAGGGAGAGTAGGCCTTCGGAGCATGGAGAACATTGTTTTCACCTGGGATATGAGCTGCCAGTCTGAGCTCAGCAGGTCTTGTAAAATGAGTCTTAAGCCAAAAAGGGAGAGGCTATTGAGAGAGAAAAGCCATCAATGCAGCCACTGGGTCTTTAAGTCCAAGAGAGAGTGCTGCAGGCAAACGTCTGTGGCACTCATCAATGAAATGGAGTAAGTGTGCTTTCCTGAGAGGGCAGGAAGTCCTACAGACATCTGCAAACTGGGAATGCAGTGGGTGCACCTGCAGCGTGACCAGGTAGGGTAGTCTCGGGAAGCCTCGCTGGGAAGCCTCGCTGGGAAGCCTCACTGGGAAGCCTCGCTGGGAAGCCTCGCTGAGAAGCCTCGCTGAGAAGCCTC